AAGACCAACGACATATTCCCTTCGCCACACAGAGAAAAATCTGCATGTGATTTTTCTGAACGAAAAGTTAACTGGAACTTAAAATGTTTTGTTTTCGACCTTAAGATTTTAATTATAAATTAATTACTAGTTACATTTGTCTTGAATGATATATTAATAAATGTTTCCCTATAGTTCCCAAAATTTTTAATAAGATAAAAGTTTTAAAAATGTAAGTTTGTTATCCTTTGATGTACTTAAAAACAACTCTAAATAGATGAGTAGATCAGTCACATTTTTTAATAGTGGGCAATTTTAGATACACTTTATATAAAATCAGCGAAAACCAATTAATGTACCTTAATCTTTAATGGAACTTGTGTTTGTAAAAATGTATGAATGAGGGGTTCCTTTTTCTCTGTGTGCTGGCGACATTTTGGCGACGCTTCGCTGCATTTTGTTGAGCACTCCGTACTCTGTACTCCGTGGCGAGGACGTGGACGTGTGCCATGTCATGGCTCCAGTGGTGCGATAAATGCTCATTTCACTTTCTATCAGCGTCTCGTGGCAGTCTAATGGAATAGTGGAGTAATGGAGGTTTAATTATGCTGTGCTGGCGGCGTGCCCTCGGCTGTCGCATAAATTACACCGAGCAATGCCTTGATTTATTGTTTGCCTATATGCCTATATGCCTATATGCCCATGGTGTATGGCATTTTTTCCACTTAAGATTTTCGCTAATGCCTTGCCCATTTTTTGTGTGTGTTTTATCTTGCAGTGACTTGACAATATGACTCCGAGGTCGTAGACTCCGGAAAACCAAGGCGACGGGCGGCAGAGAAACACCGAAACGACACAAGGCGAACAAGGAACCGACACGAAAATGTCCGGCAATCAACAACAGCAGCAGCAGCAACTACAACAACAGCAACAGCAGCAGAAGTCAGTAACTAACAACGCGACAGCAACAACCACAAACGGAGCAAGCACTTTGGGCCATAATTTGATAAAAATAAATAGCGTTGACAAAATAATAGGCAAAACCCAGGCAGCGCAGCAGGCAATTAACAAATTACAGCAGCAGCACCAGCAACAGCAACAACAACAGCAACAACAGATCCACCAGCGACGCTCTTTGTTACCAGCAACAGGAGGAGCAGCAGCAACAACAATAACAGCAACAACAACAGCAAGTCTTCACCAGCAACACTCATCGCAGCAACAAAGCGGAACGCCAACGCCAGCAGCTCAGTCGCCAGCCCAAAAGCAGCAGCAACAGCAACAGCAGCAGCAGCAATCACATCAATTGCAGACGGTGGCCACAATACACCAGCCGCACTCCACGCAGCAGCAGCAGCAGCAGGCATTGACTTCCCGCCTGCCCATCCAGCAGCAATCCGCTAAAGAATTGCCCAATCTAGGTGGCCAACGTCGCAGCTTCCACTACCAGTTGCAACATCATCATCATCAGCAGCAGCAGCAACAGCAGCAATCTCTGCGCAGCCCGCAGCTAAAGGCACCGGCACCCGCCCACTCGATTCCACCAAGATATCAGCCACCCCCTCAGCCAGCCACCGGGATCTTGAAGCCCCACTTGCCCCTTAAGTATCCGCCGGATATTCCTCAGTTATCCAGCATCTACATACCCGACTCCATCAAGCAGCAGCAGCAGCAGCAGCAACAGCAGCAGCAGCAGTCGCGCTATTTGCCACACCAGCCGGCAGCGAAGGATATGCTGAAGTTTGTGCGCAAGCCGGACCAGGAGCACCCATCGCCCAATGCCTCGGTCACGTCCAGCGGCACGGGAATACCCTCGGCCAATGGCGTTGGCGGTGGTCGCCTGACCGCCGAGCAGAACCGCCAGCTGCAGTCACTGGTGAACGAGCTGCGTGCCCTGAAGGAGCAGAACCAGCGGCTGCTGGACGACAACCAGGAGTTGCGGGATCTGTGCTGCTTCCTGGACGACGACCGGCAGAAGGGGCGCAAACTGGCCAGGGAGTGGCAGCGATTTGGTCGCTACACGGCCAGCGTGATGCGCCAGGAAGTGGCCGCCTACCAGGTGCGTTGAACCCTCATCAAATGCCAAATGCCCCAACTTACTAATTACAAATTACTACCCACAGAACAAACTACGTCAGCTGGATGATAAGCAGCAGGAGCTTATCACCGACAATCTGGAGCTGAAGGAGCTCTGCCTGTACTTGGACGAGGAGCGTGCCCATGTGGCGGCCAATGCGCTGTGCGCCGGATGCGGTGCCGCCACCAGGAACGCCCTGCGAGATGATGGGGATGGCTCCAGTTCCAGCACGAATGCCGATGAGACCATCACCGCATTGAGGAACTATGCAGAGCAGCGGCAGCTTCCCCAGGTGAGCAAATGGATAGACCCTGTAAAGGAAAGGGTTTGCTTAAAATGATTTGTTTTCTGGCCAGGATCTACGTCATGCCCACACGCTGAACGACCAGACGCTTCAGTATGTGCGCTCGCTGGAGCGACGCATCCAGCAGCTGGAGGAGGAACGGACCACGCCCACGGCCCACCTGCAGCAGCCGACGACGCCCACGCCGCAGGCCACGCCCACGCCCACGGCACAGCTCACATCCGCATCCGCATCCTCATCCGCACCCATGCCAGCCAAATCAGCGCCATCGCCCCACCAGCAGCATCAGCAACATCAACAGTCCCAGCAGCAACAGCAGGACATTGTGGCAGCTGCAGCGGCGGCAGCAGCGGCTATTCAGCTACCAGAACCCATTGCCGGTCGACCGGAGGCGGTGGTCCGTGCCCTCCAGGTGCTGGAGGTGCGGGAGCAACTGGAGCGCGATCGCCTGGGCAATCTGGCCGGGAGCGCCCTCGATCAGATGGACGATGGCGAGAAGGCGCTGGTGCGCGAGATGTGCAACGTGGTGTGGCGCAAACTGGAGGGCAGTCCACATGGACCACCAGCCCTGGAACCACTCTAAGTTGGAGCCACTCTTAACTAAACCGGGCTAACACCTAGACTCTAATGTTTAATGCTAACTTATGCCGTAATATTTAACCCTAAACATTGTACAAAGCTCAAACCACAACCTAAGCTTAAGCTTAAGCCAACGCAGAAAGCGAAAGAATACTCAAAAAATATTTGGGATACTCCAGCAACTGATTTAAGTTAAAGAACAATAAATCTGTCAATCCATAGCTCAGCATATGTTAAACTATAATGTTTTTACAACTGATTTTATATCATTTAAAATGTCACTTTGAAGTTATTGTACCAATTAAGCAGCTACATTTATATTGCAAGATTCAGCTTCAAAATCGAGCTTTAACTGGCCTTAAAGCTTGACGATTTGGATGCCAATGATGACTCCACAAAATCAAATAATCAACGCAATTGTTGTTTATTATCGATTTGGACGAACTACTTTCTTGAGATCACTCTTTTTAATTAGTTTGTAACTCTGCTGATCAGTTGATGGAGTATACTTACAATTATTTTTTTTTTACTTATTATAAACTTTGACTGTTATTTTTGAATGCCAAGAGAAAAACTACTTTCATGAAAAATTTGCTAACTCGAAATACAATGCAACAAATATTTCCATACTCATCAAAGGGTTTTTTTTACTTTCAAAGTCGTTTAATTGGGAATGATTGGGGGAGGGAGAATTAAAGAACGCTGGTTCACTGTTACAACTTGATTCTGTAATAAATCTAAGCGCATTATACGCTTTCTACGCTTTGCTGGACCCTACAACTATATATGCACATGTACGCGGTTTTCGAGACAAACGTAAATTACCGCAGAGCTGTTTAACCTGATTTTTCTTGGCCAATTTGGCCATATCGCATTCATTCAGAATGATCGCCGCTCGCGGGACAGGATGATGCGGCAAGAAACGGCACGAAATGCAAGGCAAAGCCAAAGCCAACCCACTTTTGGCCGTTCTGGTTTTGCCGCTTTTTCTGCTCTTTGGCTAATTCATGCATTATCCGTGGCTTCGGTCGCGCCTCAGAGCTTCAAGGCGCGAACATGTGAGTTTTAACTTTACTGTCATTAAATATGCAACCTTTCTTTGTTTTGCTTTCATTGTTTTCCCCTTTCCGTTGGTGCGGATTGGCTTAAAGTGGATAAGAATCAGTTAAAAGGCGTGTGAAAAGAGTTGAGGCAGGAATGAAAAGCGACACCTGATGGAGTTGTGGATTAATTTTAAAATAATATATTCTCTTAAGTTGATTAATATTCAAAACCATATTTTCTTTCCTTCCAAGATTTTCTCATCATAACTTGCCAAACACTATGTTCTTGAAATATTTCTTAAATTCTTCTTGATTTTATTCTACAATTTTATATATTATAATAAATGAAAAAAAAAATTTAAAACTTATGTTCAAAATCATAAATAGCTCTAAACTTGGCCAAACCTATGTTCTTGAATTTTATCTAAAAGTGGAAGATTTAATTATTTATTTATCTAAAACAATATTAAATTTTTTGGTTAGAATTTCGGCTATTTTAATTTTAATGGTTCCACAAATTTAAAAAAAAAAAATAATAATGTCATTGTTAATGGTGGTTACCTGGTGTACAAATGTTGTACCTTTATCTAGGGTCGAATGTTGGCTATTTTAATTTATATATATATATACATTTATATATATGTATAGCTATATGTGGGGACACTACACTCGATGGCTACTCTTGCCCCACCCCATAATTGTGCAGTTGGGAAGTCCGCTCCCAATAGCTGACACACTTTGGAGACCCACAATCGAAATGGAACATTAGACAGCCGAAAATAGCAAATAAGCGGAGATTATAGGAGAGAAACCGCAGAGAAAAGCAGTTCCAGACAGCCGCAGAGTCACCAGCTAAAAGCCACCAGTCCCCAGTCAGCAGATCCAGCAGCATCCGCAGATCTCGGAAGATGGAAACGGGCGCACTTATCATTCAACTTCGCAGCGAATCGCACGCGCGAACAGAATAATCGGAGTGTGCTAAAAGTAGAAGGAGTCGCTGCTAAAAAAAACACACGGCATGGCGGTGGACATGGACAGGGAAGCCATAAAAATGCTGTCGTCGGCGAGCCAAGAAGATGCCAACCAGTCGGACTCCAATTCGCAGTTCGAGTGCCAGGCAACATCGATATTACGAGGTGGCAAAAAAAAAGGCACTTTCAGTCAGAAGAACAGTGCCAGAAAAAAGAAAGTTATTGCAGCCGGTTGTGGTGGCCACCTGCTGCCGTCCCTCGCCGCTGCACTTTGCATACTGAGCATCCCGCTGGGACTGACTCCACCGGTGAGCTCCATGTCGCCGGCCAACGAGACGGCCTGGCCACCCATGCGGCATTACGATATCTGGGACGACCATCCCGGCGATCTTGAGGAGGAGTCTTTGGCGGAGGAGATGGACCTTCAGGAGCAGCTGGACATGGAGATGCAGCAGCAGGAAGACATCTCTGTTGGCAGTCACAATCAGACGAATGGCAGGCAGGGAAAGGGTGAGTTCTAGGTAGAACTATGGATCTATAGGATATCATTAGCAGGAATTTAAAAGTCTGAAAATTTAGAACTGCTGAGAATTAATCTTTACATTAAAGGAAATATTAAAAACAATTATATTTTTGTAACTAAGTATTAGTTGACCATTATCAATAAAATTTAACTAATAAGATTTAAAAAAAAAATCAGGAAAATTATTAGCAATTCCCTATTAAAAAAAAAATTACAAAATAAGAAACTATTATTTTTTTAGGTGTTATATCTCTTTTTAATAAATATTATTATTAATACTATACAGCTAGTAGTTTTGTTCTTATGAACATTTTATTGATCACCACAAAGTTTATTTTAGGACTTTAAGAAGACAAAGATTATCAGCTTCTAAAAAATGAATTACTAAATATATACTGTTTCCTTACGGAATAAACCTAAAACAATTTAAGGCATACCACTATTTTATAAAAAGTAACGTAAGCTTACTGTGCAAATCTCTAACAATAAAGAAAAGAAAAAACAAACAAAAATAATAAAATAATAATAAAATAATAATAAATTAAACAAAATTTAAATTGTACAACTGTAGTAGTCGTACCTAGCATATATCCTTTTATATATCCTATATATATATCCTTTTGAAATAAATAAAAAGTAATAATTTGTTTATCCCATACCAGTGATCCATCTGTTCCCGGTGCCCGTGGATGGTGATTGTTTGTCCAACGATGGTCGGCGGATGGGCAACTGCCTGAATGCCTACGAGTGCCGCCAGAAGGACGGACAGGCGAAGGGAGAGTGCGCCATGGGGTTCGGAGTGTGCTGCGTGTTCCTGGCCAGCTGCAACACCACGATCTCGAACAACATCACCTACATCGTGTCGCCGGGATTCCCCAGCTTCATGCCCAGCAACTTCACTGGCTGCAGCCTGCGGGTGAAGATGATGAGCGACGAGATCAGCCAGGTGCGGATCGACTTCCACCACTTCACTCTGGGTCAGCCGAATCGAAGGACTGGCGTGTGCGAAGGAGATATCTTCAGTATAGGCGGTGGACCAGGTGGAAATTTCTCCCTTTGCGGCCAGAACAGTGGACAGCATTGTGGGTATATCAGAGATATTTCAGATTATATATCTTAATAACTATATATACATTTTGTAGTGTACTACGATGTGGGTGCTCGAGCTTCGCCTCGGCAATCTACACTGTACGGGAGTCTTCGCCCGGTGGATACCGGTAATGGTAGCACCAGCAACTCCACAGGAGATCGCTTCATCGACATCAATCTCAACCTGTCCAATCGCCTCCTGCCCCTTCGCCTTTGGGAGATGAGCGTGGTCCAGATCCCCTTCAGTCAACGAGCTCCGGCGGGCTGTCTGCAGTATCACACCGGCAGGGAGGGCATTATGCAAACCTTTAACTTTGCGGAAAACGGGCGTCACTTGGCCAATCAGAACTATCGGATTTGCGTGCGCCAGGAGTCGGACATGTGCTCGATTATGTACCAGCCGTGCGATGAGCTCTCCTTCCGGATTGGTGGCGGCGGACGAATGGCCACCCGTGATGGTGACACTGGTGGTGGAGGATCACCCACAACTTCGAATAACGCAGCAGTCCAGTCAAATCCCGCTGTGGCACAATCGGATGTTGCAGGTGCAACAGCAACATCGGCTAGTGCAGCAATGACCACGGCAGCCCCAACTTCCAGCACTCTGATGCAGATGCTGGCCAACATGGCCAACTCCACCACGACAACGCTGATGACCATGATGTCAGGGAACACTACTTCCGCTGCCAGTCCATCATCTTCACCCAGCAGCAGCAGCAGCAGTACGGCTGCGATGAGCACGACGACAACATCGACCACTGCAGCTCCGTTGCGTTCCAGTACAGAGTCAACCAGCACATCGCAGGCACCAGCATCCTCGCCAGCCAGCGACGATGTGGAGGGTTCGGGTGGCGAGGACGGCGGAGTGGGCGATGATGACGACGATGGCGGCTTTTTGTTCTTCAGGAGTCGACCCACCACAGAGGAGCCGGGCGTTTCCCGCCGCCCACGTCCGAGTGGAGGCTTCGACATCATGGGCATCATTCGTAATGCCCTCGACTTGCCGCTGAAATGGCGGCGACGCCAGGCCCGTCAGTTCTTCAGCACCTGCTCGGATCGGATTACGATGCCGTGCATCATAGAGGACTTCATAGGCACGGGGCTGGGTCCACTGCCCGGATGCGAGCCCGTTCACTGTGGCGCCCAGTTCTGCTCCTCGGGCGTGTGGCCATGTCGCATCGAAAGCACGGTGACTCCGTTTTACATAGGTGTCCGCTTCGGCAACGGATTGGGTGCTGGCAAGGCGAATGCCGAGGATAATGTGGGCGCTTGTCTGCGCTTTTCCCAGGTGCAGTGCACGTAAGGATTCCCGCCAATCCATCAACTTTCATTTCGTTTTAGAAATTTGGATTATTGAAAAGGCAAATACCGATTTGTATCCAAGTGATGTATTCATTTACCAGCCTTTATCTTTTTTCGAAACAGGCTTTCACATATTATTTTTCTATTATTTTTAAATATAGTAAACATACAGACTATGTTAGTAGTGGCCCGATTTCCAGGCATTTTTGAGAAGTTTTACATGACGGACAATACTCTTCAACTTATTCGAGCTTAGTTAAGTGTAAATTTGTTTGTACAAAGCACTGTGGGGACAATCCGAGTATTCTAAGCTTTCTTATACAGCAGTGCCTTTTTCATTTGTTAAATATAAGGAGATTATCAATCAGGCAATGTAAATATATTGTGCAACGGGACAAAGCGCGGACATAAGCAACTAAGAAAAGTGTAGATATCTGATTTGTTTTTAAGCTGTGCCAGTTTTGTGTGCGCTTGAGAATGCTGTTATCATTTGGAATGCGGGCTGCTAAAAAGCAAACAGAAGGCAATGCAACCTAACAATGGAGCCCTATCTGAGGGCCACGATTCTTTGGCTTGGAGCGGAAAACGATACATATACAAATGTAGTGATCTTAAAACACCCTTCACTCGATTGTAATACTAAAAGTACTCGCCCGCAGCCTTGTAGGCCCGCGGGCAGTTTTGTTCGGCATACTTGGCATAGGCGCCTTTAGAACCTTGTTTGATGAGCAGCGAGCTCGAGTGCTTGTTCCATACGTGCACCACATACGAATCCTTGCAGCGGGCCAGTGTCTCCTCCAGCTTTTCCGGCTCGAAGAAGTCGCGCCACTTTTTCCAGGGAACGGCATAGAAGGCGCCCCGCCCGAATACCTTGAATCCCAGACAACGCTTTGGATCCTCCTGCATCACGGCGATGTCCTTGGTGCCGCAAATCTTCTGGGCCACACGAGTTATCACCCCGGGACCGTTGTTGCCCCAGTCTCGACCGTTGAAGTTGTACTGAAAGTCGCGCAGACACGATTCGGCGATCTCGTGGCCAAAGCCAGTGGCTGCCAGGCTCATCACGCCAGCGGCCAAGTGTGTGTTGGACTCGGCGCCTGTGTAATTGGGCGGCACCTCCTCCATGTTGCGCAGCACCACCACATCCATGTCCAGATATAGACCGCCGTAGCGATAGAGGGTGAGGTAGCGCAGGAAATCCGATATGTGCGAAAACAAATATCTGGTGGGGGAAGTCAGTGATGAGTAATACCAAAAGGCGAATGACGAGGCTCACCTTGAGCGGAACAAGCGGCCGTCTTTTAGCCACTCTTCGATGGGCGTGCCGGCAGCATAGCTCCACAGGTTCAGTCGCCGCAGGTGCACATTGCTGTAGCTGAGAATGGCGTCGACCAGAGGCTGCGGATGGCTGTTGTTGCGTCCACCGGTGGAGATTCGATATGTGGGGCCGGCGAAGAGGACGAACACTTTGAAATTCGGATTATGCAACGCTGCGGACTCGATTGCGCAGGCCTGACGGGCGGTGAGCTTCAGCTTCTCGAACTGCTTGTTCTCGGTTTGGTGGCAACTTGTCTCGTGGAAGAAGATACTCCTTCCGGGCGTGGGTTTTGGCTCCGCCAGCAGCACATCCTCCAGGGGAGTGGCATCCGCATCAGCGACTGGCGCCTGGGTCGCCATCCCTTGGCCTTCCATGAAGCACAGGTAGTAGTCATTTTGCCAGGTGTAGGTATAAGCAATGCTGCCGACGAGCACCAGGATCAGGATGCCAAACAGAAACCGCAGTCTTCCGTTGTGAAGGAAGCGTGCCGCCAAAATGGGCAGCCGCAGGAGCATGACTAGAGCAGGAACTGAAACTGGGGACAGATAAGAGATTGCTTCGACACGCCGTTGACTGTTACTCACTCTGTGACCGCGGCTAACCGTTCACCGCCGCGATCATGCTTGCTGATAAGCAAATATTATGTTTACTTAATGTTTTTTTTTTTTTGTAATTTACAGTGCAAAAATAGGGACCACAACAAAGCCTATTTATCGATAACTTATCGGTGTGAGCAGTGGTATATTTATGGTAATTTGTAGGTTTTAAGATTATCCAATAGTTTGGTGCACGGTCACACTGGCGTGGAAAGCGGCATTTGCTTTGAGAATTTTTCACCAATTTTTTTTCCATTACCGAACGCAACGTGAATTGGCCGGCGCAACAACGACCGGTAGACGACCGACCCATAACCCATATAGCAAAATAGTGAAATGAATGTTCCTCCTAGCGTGGGCAATGGAGGAGCGCCGCCAGGAAGGGGCATGGGCTACACGCCGTCAAATGCCATAGTGCCGCAGTTTCCGCCGCCCGGATTTGCGGCCCCGCCCCCTCCAGAGCTGGCCGCCGCCTTTGGGGTGATGGCCTCCAATTCCGAGTGGACTGAGCACAAGGCGCCGGATGGACGACCCTACTACTACAACCAGAACACCAAGCAGAGTTCGTGGGAGAAGCCGGAGGCCCTGATGACGCCCGCTGAGCTGCTGCACAATCAGTGCCCCTGGAAGGAGTACCGATCGGACACGGGCAAGGTGTACTACCACAACGTGGCGACCAAAGAGACCTGCTGGGAGCCACCACCGGAATACGTGGACATGAAGGCCAAGGCGAAGGCTGAGGAGTAAGTGATTTGCGGGGCGCTCTTGATGTATATCACTTGCTAATATCGTGTTTTTTTTTTACCCAGAGCTGCTGCCGCCGCCAAGGCCGTGGCGGCCATGACTTCATCCAGCTTGGCGGGCATGGTGCCACATGCTGCTCTGGCCAACATCCTGCCCGCCGCCCTGCCCGCTGCTCCCAGAATACCCACGCCAGAGATCCACTCACCCCTGACGCCCAGCAGCAACGAGAACTCGTCCTCCGCTCTGGACCAGGCCATGGCAGCCACTTTGGCGTCCATTGAGGTGCCCCAACAGAATGGTAAATAAGACCGCCGTACGCTTACTTTCTTGAACTAATCACGTTCTGATTCAGCTAAAAAGGACGACAAGTCGGACAGCGCAGTGGTGTTCAAGGATAAACGCGAGGCCATCGAGTCCTTTAAGGAGCTGCTGCGGGACCGCAACGTACCCTCAAACTCCAACTGGGATCAGTGTGTGAAGATCATCTCGAAGGACCCGCGCTATGCAGCCTTCAAGAACCTCAACGAACGCAAGCAGGCCTTCAATGCCTACAAGACGCAGAAGATCAAGGACGAGCGGGAGGAGTCGCGGCTAAAGGCCAAGAAGGCCAAGGAAGACCTCGAGCAGTTCCTCATGTCCAGCGACAAGATGAACTCGCAGATGAAGTACTTTCGTTGCGAAGAGGTGTTTGCCGGAACCCGAACGTGGACGGTGGTGCCGGAACCGGATCGACGGGATATATACGAGGATTGTATATTTAATCTAGCTAAACGGGAGAAGGAGGAGGCGCGGCTGCTAAAGAAGCGGAACATGAAGGTTCTGGGAGAGCTACTGGAGTCGATGACGTCTATTAACCATGCCACCACGTGGTCCGAGGCTCAGGTCATGCTGCTGGACAACGCGGCATTTAAGAACGACGTGACCCTGCTGGGAATGGACAAGGAGGATGCCCTCATTGTCTTTGAGGAGCACATTCGCACCTTGGAAAAAGAGGAGGACGAGGAACGCGAGCGGGAAAAAAAGCGGATGAAGCGACAGCAGCGCAAAAACAGGGACTCCTTTCTCGGACTCCTCGATTCCCTGCACGAAGAGGGCAAGCTCACCTCCATGTCGCTTTGGGTAGAGCTCTATCCCATCATATCCGCCGATCTGCGTTTCTCCGCCATGCTCGGCCAGAACGGTTCCACGCCTCTGGACCTCTTCAAGTTCTATGTGGAGAACCTCAAGGCCCGTTTCCATGACGAGAAGAAAATAATTCGGGAGATACTGAAGGAAAAAGTATTTGTGGTCCAGGCGAAGACGTCCTTCGAGGACTTTGCCACGGTTGTGTGTGAGGATAAGCGTTCAGCCAGCCTGGATGCGGGCAACGTGAAGCTCACCTACAACTCTTTGCTGGAGAAGGTAAGATTCGAGTGAGCTCTTTGCGGTAAAAATCTTGCATAACAATTATTTCCAGGCGGAGGCCATTGAAAAAGAGCGGATGAAGGAAGAGGTGCGACGGCTCAGGAAGCTGGAGAATGAGATCAAAAACGAGTGGCTGGAGGCCAACGTCTCAGTGGCCGAGCCCTACGAGAGTGCCAAGAAGCTGGTGGAGCACCTGGAAGCATTCGCCCTGTACGAAAAGGAAATCGGGGTGGAAAAGATCTGGGAGGACTTTATCAAAGAAAGCGAAGATGCGTGCAGCCATCATCACTCGCGGTCACGTAAATCGAAGAAAAACAAGAAGCACAAAAAACGAGTAAGGTCCACGTCCAGATCAGACATTGAGAACGAGCAGGTTGAAGTGGAGAAATCGAAGCGAAGGCGCTCCAAGTCTCGATCGGTTAGTATGCAAATCCATTCTACACTAAAAGCTAGAAGTAATTTCACTCCCGAGCAGCATTCCCTGAGCTCGATCGGCAGCATCGAGAGCGAAAAGTTGCTGAAGAAGAAAAAGAAGCGCAAGAACAAACTGCGAGGGGTACGTAGCAAATCCCCCCAATCCTTGAAACTCAAGAGATCTAACAAAGCTTACATTTCAGTCATCCTGCGAATCGGAAATTCCTGGCAACCAGTCGCCCGGCGCCCAGGCACTCCTGCAGAATGACTCCAACTCGCATTCGCCGGCCAAGAAAAAGAAGAAGGAGAAGCGCACCAAGAAGGACAAGGAAGGCAAGCGGCACAACAGACACAATCGCTCCGGCACGCCCCTCAGTCCCGCCCAGTCCATGGAGTCGGCGGGATCGCGGAATGAGGAGCTGACGTTAAGTGACGGTGAGCTGGAATCGAAGCGAGCAGCCCTGCTGGCGCAACTAAGCGAGCAGTTGGACGAGTGACCAGCCGGCGGGCGCTGAGCTTAAGCCGACATAGACAGCGTGTGGCGCACTCCAGCTCCAGCTAAGTGCGGTTCAGGAGAAGCAGCTGGCCTTGGACTCAGTTGCTGGACAAGTTCTCCCCAGTCCTTGCCTTCTACTGCAATCCGCTCTGTTTGGTTACGATGTAGTCCTGGCCCCAGCACAAGCCACACAGCAAACCACTATTGTAATTTCTTAGTCGCAATAAGTTTCAATGTATAAATGAATTAAAGCTACCAAGTCAAGTTTTAAGATATACGCAAGATTTCGAGTAACGTAATTATCATACAGGAATAAAGTTTGATTGCTCCCCTATGATTTTAAGTAGACCGACATTCTGAATTAATTAGTTCTTTAACTTATTTAAAATTAAACGTAAACACAATATAAGTTTTTACTATGTTTAATGACATTCTTGACAAGCGCACAATTGGAAAAGTAGTTTATTTTTTGTTGTTGTTGTAGAACTAAAACTTGAACTCCTTGTACTTCTTTGTGGTCTTGGCCGGATCCGTTTGCTGTCGCTTGCGCTTCGATTTTTGCCGCGCCACATGCTCGGCCAACATGTCTGACAGATCCTCCTTTTGCAGGTGGTTTTGCTGCTCGCGCATCTGCTGCTCATAACGCTGCGCCATTGCGTCGTTGTCCATGTCCAGTTCGCTGGGATCGAGTGCCAATTCCACGATGCCCTCGCGATCTGTGGTGGATCGAACTGGTGGCTGCTTGTTGGCCCCACCGCCACTGACATCGTAGACATGGGTTGATCCCATCATTGAGGCGCCGATGCGATCGGTGCGCTTTTCGGGCAGCACTTGGTACAAAACAGGGGTTTCATTGCTGGGGGAAAACCAAAACTGCGGTTAGCTGGGCTCTTGTCTTACAGTTTAATAATTTCACTTACTCTTCCATTTCGGCTTCGATTTTCTTTTTGCGAAGCTCAATGTTTTCGGGCGTTTCCAAGCCAGCTGGGACACTGGTGAGTCCAGAGGGTGTTACCAGTCCCTCCACTGGCGTCACCAGACCAGTCTCATCCTGCTGATCGCCCAAGTCCTCGCCATCTTCCTCCTCCTCTTCAGAGGACTCTTCTGACTCCGATTCCAGTTCGCCCCATTGATTGCGTTCGATGTCGGCCTCGTCGATGCCATTCTAAATTATATTCTCCACGTTTAATAAAATTAAATAGAAACGAGATATTGGTACTCACATCCAAATCCAATATGTTGGTTCCAAATACGTCACCGTACAGCGGTTTTCCGTTCTCATCCACTGGCGGCTTGCCCCAACCTCCTGCATGATAACCGAACGAAGTTCCGTCTGGGATGGGCGCGTTGAGGCCGGGAATTTTCAGATTCGGATACGAGGGCGGAGGCCCGTAGCGCTGCTGAGCAATCAGCCATGGCGGCGGAATCTTGTGCGAGTTGGGACCAACGGGCATGCCCAAGGCAATGCGCAACTCCTCGGAAAGATCTCCCGGCTTCTTCTCCTTAAGGCGCGTCTCAAACTCCTTGCCCTCGTAGTAGAGATCGCCATGAATGGTCATGCGGGGCTTGGTCTGCCACTTGAAGAAGGCATCGTGCAGTTTCTGGTAGTCAATGTCGATTTTGCCCATTTTGGGACGGACGCGTTCCCGCATCTTGGCTTTGAGGGTCTTGGCGTCTTCGCGCTCTTGCAGCGATTCGCGCATCTCCATGATGCCCGTCTTCTTGATGAAGGCGGGAAGGTCGAACGGAGGCTTCTCGATGCCTCTCTTGCCCTGCAGGTATTTCCGCTTGAAGCACCAATGCCGCGGCACTTGCACTGTGTTCCTATAGGCCTTCAGTTGGACCAGCAGCTTGGGGTCTCTGGCAGTAACATCGTGCATCTCAACTACATCGGGTCGGGAGACCAGCTGCTTCAACTCCGCCACACTCAGACGGGTCAGTTTCTTGAGCTTCCGCTTGGACAGCTTCTCTTTGTCCTCCTTGTGCTCGTCGTCGTCATCGCCATCGTCGTCTTCGTCCTCGAGGAGTTTGTCGGCAGCCTTTTTGTCCTTGGACAAGGTTTCTGGATCAAGCGAAGATTTGTCCTTTTCTGCAGGTTTTGGTTTGTTCTCCAGCTTGAAAATTTCAAAGACTCGATAGAACTGGCGGTACATGGGCGCCAGATCGGCAATTGTAATCTTTTCGGGCACATATCTTCGGGAAGAAACAAAAATTATATATTATTCGGTGGATAAAGTTAATGCCATGACTTACTCTATGGTCACATCGCCTTCGTTGGACTCTCCCGTCTTCTTATCCTTCTCCTTTTCGTCACTGCGATCCTTCCTCCGCTTGCTGCGACTGTCTTTGTGTTTGTCCTTCTTTTCCTTCTCGGCGACCTGTTCATCCCCGCTGCCCGGAGCTTTCGTGTCCGGTTCCTTAGCCTCCTGATCCGCGGCCTCGTGCTCATCCGCCTGGGCCAACTGCTGCTGTCGCTCAAATTCCAGCTGGTGTCGAATCTTCTTGTTCAGCTTCTTGCGCTTCTTTTTCTTTTTGTTCCGCTCCGCCTTGCTCTGCTTGCCGGCCTTTTCGCCACCGCCGCCGTTCACCAGGTTGTCCGCATCCTCCTCGCTGTCCTCGCCCACATCAGCCTCGTCGCCGTCCTGCGTTGCGCCCCCACTGCCCCCTTGCGAGTCGGCGTCCACTGTGAACTCGGCCACACGCTGATCCTTCAGCGCCAGCACATCCTCCAGGGCCTTGGGCAGCACCAGCTCGGCGGCGGACTTCTCAGCATCCACACCATCCTCGGAAGCTTCGCCGGCAGCACTTCCATTTCCATTGCCGTTCTCATTCCCATTAGCCGCCGCCGAACTTTCGTGCTGCTGCTGATCGAAGCGTAAGGACATCAGCGGCGCCGGCTGGCCGGCCTAGAAAGTGACGCATTTCAGAGTGAACTGGCAGATTGTGCAAAAAACTCACCTCATTGTTTACCTGGTCCGCCATAAATTAATTAAATAAATTTATCAAAACCAAACCACCAGCGAAAAAACAAATTTTAGCGATGGGAGAAATCAGATAAGTGCACAATAGCGATAGCTCGATAGCTATCGATCAAAATACACAGCCAGTTGGCAGCTCCTTTCCACAGGGTGACCAAAGAACCATACTAAAAGCGTGGTTTCTGCCAACAGCTGATTGCTTGTCAATTTCCATTTACAAAGGTAAATTATTGTATATTGTGTTGTAAATACGTTAACTAAATGAAATATTGATTTGTGTTAATTTAAAATGATAGCGAAACATAATTACAGCTCGTTTCAACTACAGGATTCGTACAGATCACAGGGTGCCTCGAGGACACAAAGATGTTTAAATTTAATTTTAAAGTAGAGGCGGACACATCTGAAGATCCAGAGGCCGTTAAAAGTGCAATTTTTAGTAATGAAGGCAATTCCGAACCTGAATCGGAAAACACTAAGAATATAGATTGGTATCAGGCAGAGAAAGTAAAGCCAATAGATAACATAATTTCAACATTGGATTTCTACGAGTTGAATGCAAAGGAAATGGATGTGGGAAACACAAAAATCCGACACCTTGTAGCCGGTTTTCTGCTGGATGATATAAAAGCCCAAACGCACTTGGAAAACCTCGATATCAGAAAGTCTGAAGAAAATCATTCGGATCTAATAGCCGGGGTCTACGAAGGAGGTGCTAAGATATGGGAATGCACAGAAAGTCTTTTAGTGTATCTGTCCGAAAAACATGAAGACTCCTTCTGGAAAGATAAAAGAGTCCTGGATTTGGGTTGTGGTTCCGGATTACTGGGGATATACGCCATGAAACACGGAGCACGAGTCGACTTTCAGGACTACGTAAGCGTATAAACCCATTTTAATTTTTTTATATTAATAAATCTAATATTTTTAGAACAAAGATGTTTTGGAATACATCACATATCCAAATGTCCTGCTAAATTTAGACGAGTCGCTCACTGACGATGGAAAGTTGCAATTTTTGGACAAACATACATCCTTATATGCCGGGGATTGGGCTCATTTCACCCAACTTACAAAGGAAGTAGAGAAATACGATCTAATACTTACCTCAGAGACAATTTACAATATTGAAAATCAGCAAAAACTGTTGGAGACCTTTGCTGGTCGCCTAAAACCGGATGGAATCATTTTGGTTGCTGCCAAATCTCATTATTTTGGAGTCGGAGGTGGCCTGGAACAATTTTCGGAAAAGATAAAGTTGGAAAATGTGTTTCGATGTGAAAATGTTTGGCAGGCAGACGATAACTTGAAAAGAGGAATTTTACAATTAAAATTTCAATAGATTTATTTGTTGAATTTATGGGGGATTTTTATATCCGTTAATCGTAGCGTAAAATAGTAATATCGTAATCGTTGAAAAGAATGTGACAACAAAAACATTTAATATAAAAACCTCCACACAATTTTTTTTAAATTAAAACATTATTTCTTTTACGAATAATATACGGATAAATATCGGCAATATCCCAGTTAAAAAAATGTTTGGAAAAGTTCAAGTTTGGTAGGGTGTTCTGCTTACTTGATAATTATTATAACAAAGTCAGCAATACCTTTCTTTTTGCAAACTTTTTGAAATCGATTTAAATTCATTCCACTTGACGCCTTATAGATTAAATATAAAGTTAAGTTGGCACTCCTGATTGATGCGAAGCACCCTGTTACAGACCGTCATCTAAGTTGTTGTTGTCGTTATCCCGCAGAAATTGTGAGTAAATTTGGTGTGCTATAATAAAACAATTAAAATGCACCCATACGGCACTGATAATTGCTTTTGAAACATTCCTCCTGTTTGCCAATAGGGCGTGCACTAATATAATCTAACGAATTTACGTACATGCTGCCCGGAACACCTAAAAAAAACACTATCGCCGTGTTAAATCGATGTTCTTGATGTCTGCCGCCGGTTTATCCGATTTTGTGACTGCAGCCCGGAAATCAGAGGACGCGGAGGCCAAGTCAGCGCAGAAGAACAGGACGCTCTGCTGCTGTGAATACGTGGCGGAGGACAGCCACCAGCGAACGCACATCCTAGCATGCTGTTGTAACTGCGTGGACTTCGACTTAGTGTTTACAAGGTGAGAAAGTGTGGGCAAAGCTATTGCGATTGATTACAATGCTACATTCCTCCCCAGACTTGTCACCTGCCGAGCCATCGATCGAAGGAACATAGACGGCATGCTGATCGCCTTCCAGGACCGACTGCGTTTGCCATGGCGCGGCGGTGCCAAGCGAATATCGCCTGCAGCCGTGGCGCCGGCTTTTATTGTGCCGCTCATGTTGGGATTGGCCACCCTGAACTCCAAGACAGCCGTGGTGCTAATGCTCACCCTGGTGGGCTTCACCGTCTGGGGCGTGGAGCTGGCCAAGAAGACGGCCACGCGGACAAACTTCTTTCTTAGCTGGCTAATCTTCTCGGTGCTCTACATGATCATCATATTTGAGTTCCAGGTGCCACTGCTGGAGCTGGCTCCCGAGGAGAACTATGCCCTGATGTTCTTCTCCTGCGCCGCCCTGTACTGTCTCTATTCCACCAAGGTTCTGGCCCCGTTGAATCTTGTTTCGGCCCAATACGGAACTACGCCCAAGGACGAGCTGCCGGGCATCGCGGAGGCTTCTAGTGGCGAGGAGCAGGCGGAGGCTCAGATCACGCTCCAGATGGACAGTGTACTGAGTCTGGAAGACGACGATGACGAGGTGGTGGACATGGGCATGGACACTGCCGAGCGGTCGGGCCTGATGCACGGGCAGCCCAACATCTGCGAGATCTGTCGAAAGGTGACTCCAAGACGAGCCTACCACTGTCCCATTTGCGGCACCTGCGTGAAGAGGCGGGATCACCACAGCTACTGGCTAAACTGCTGCATTGGGGAGCGTAACTACGTGTGGTACATCGTGGGGCTGGCTCTGTCGGAGATTGCACTCCTGCTGGGCGCCAACCTGACCCTCACTTCGATTTGCCATCCCTTCATGGTGGTGCGGCCACTGGGCTATCCCGTGCTCCTGCCCGACGACTGCAGTGAGGTGTTCGAGGGTTTTGAGTAAGTCGAACATTTAAATGGAATCTTAGTTTTATATACATATGACATATGTGACTTTCCCATTCAGGCTGGGCATCTCCTTTGTGGTGGCTTGCTACGCCCTGCTTATCTCCGCCTACGTCGCCTTTATACTCACCCGACAGGCGTACTTGTGGTGGAAGGGCTCCACACTGCACGAGTTCAAACGCGCCTCCAATGCCGCAGGTCGCAACCGAATCTGGAGCAATTGGCGGGCCATTCTGAAGTGATCGCTCACATACCAAAAAGTAGAAAGCACAAGCTTGTCGCCCAAATACTAAAGTATTTCACTATAAACGCTGTTCTCTTGGTAGTACTTAGTCCGTAGCGCTTTAAGGTCTTAAACGCAATTTCAAATTTATTCAAAATAAATATAATTAAGAAACTATGAACGAAAAACCAAAAACCAAAAACAAAACAAATGTGAAGCTACCACAAGCTATCCTCTCTCGGTTTGTAATCGGGCAGCAGCTCCCAGATCTTCATGCGCCATCGCTGGCGCCGCTCCTCCGTCTCCCTTTCGATTTTGAGGATCTGTGGCAGGCGCCGCCAGCAATCTAAGACCTTCCACTTCAGGTGCCTAGTGAAGTTGTTCATTCGCTATAATTAATCATCATTCAAATATTTATTTACAGGCAGGGACCTACCACTCGTGATGGGAGATGGCCTGCCGCGTCTTGGTGTCCTCGATCATTCGACATCGCGCGGAGTATTTGTACCAGCGTCCGAACCAGTGCTCCATGGCATGGAGTGCATGCCAATCGATGGCCACCAGCATCTTGCTCTTCTCATTCTGCACGTAAACGATCCAGGCGCACAGGGCGCGTCTCTTGAGGATGGTGTGCCAGCACCTCTCCGCTCGGATCATCTTTTCACGTTGCTTATAGACCGTGTAATTGTGCCACGACTGGAAGGCGTTCCGTTTGAATAGCTGTCGGCGGGACTCCAGTTAGTTATAATACTAACCGTAACCAGAAGAAAGAGGAAAGCATACCTGACAACGGAACTCCTCGCTCTTGACCAGATTCTCGCGCTTGCGCTGCAGGAGCCGCTTGAAGCCCTCCATGCCGATCCGGCTGAGCAGAAGCCGTCGACTGAACTCCACTGCCTTGCGCTGGTTGTCTATGAAGCGCTGGCGTTCCCGCTCCTTTAGGACCTTGGCCATTTTCTCCTGGCGTCGCTTCTCCTTAAGGACCTCTATCCGCAGACGCTTGGCTTCTTCGTCCTCCTGGCGCTGCAAGGTAGGGAATTAAGGTATGTAAATCTATACTATATTATTAGTTATTTAAGGACCCACCTTGGCCTCCTCCAGGGCCACCTTGGCCGCCTCCCTCTCGGCTTCCGCCTGTGCCCGCCGCTGACGAGCCTGCTCGTGACGCACACTCCGCTCGGTGGCCCGCTCCTGCATGTGCTGCAGGAATCGCGGCTGGAGCAGTGCCTTGCCCTGCAGCCGGGCCATCTCCTCGTCATCCGCATCGCGCAGACTGCCGATCAACTGCAGGCACTTGGCCTTCGCCTTGGCCTTGGGATCCCCGCAGCGGATGACCGTTTTCAGCTCCTGCTTGAGATCCTCGCGAGCTTCCTTGGCCTCGTCGCTGAGCTTGGTCAGCTTCAGCTGCATGATGAGCCGCTCCTGGCGCTCCAGCTTGAGACGCTGCAGGTCAATGATGTCCTGCTGCACCTTGAGTCTGGTAGAAAAGAGAAGTCCATGTTAGTTACATATGTAAATGAATATGCACATGACTTACTTATTCTTGAACTGCTTGGCCAGTTTTACGGCCTCCTCACGCTGCTCCAGGGACTTCTGGGTGATCTTACTGGTCTCGGCCACCGTTTCAGTGCGCTGTCGCTTCTTCTCCTGCCGCACCTTGTCCAGAAACGCGTTGATCTTCTGCACCCGATTGTCCCGCGCCTGATAGGAGGTGGGTCCCTGCTCCCGCTCGATCTTCTCCATCGTTGTAAAGTGTATCCACTTGAGGAAGTACTTGCGCATGATCACCAGCTGGGTGTTGGCCCTGGCCTGGAACAGCTGGTCGATGATCTTCTGCTTCTCGTAGGTGGGTGCCACACCCGACTCGTCTTCACTGTCACTGGATAGTGGCGGGGTATCAGGTACCTTGGGCTTGACCACCACCTTGGGCAATTCAATCCGCCGGATGAGCAGGGGTTCCGGTTCGGGCTCGGCCTCTGATTCCCCAATGGGATGGGTGCTTGGTGTGGGGGTTTTCTTTTGGGGCAACTGAAACTGCACCTGCTTGGGCGGAATGGGCAACTCCTTGGCCAGCTGTTCGTTTTGCTCCTCAGCAGCTTCCAGTTGGAGTTCGTAGAGCGCTTCCTCCGCCAGATCGGATATTACGGAGTCTATGCCATCGCTGGTGTTGGAGCAGGTGGAGGATTCCCTTTTTAGCGGGGAAGGATTACAATCTGGCTGTTGCTGCTCCTGCTGCAGCTCCTCCTCGTGCCGAACGGTGCGGACATGAAGCATCTGCCGCTCGGCCGCCGCCCGCATGGGCCTAAAGAACTCCTCCGTGGAGGTCAACGGACTCGGTGTGCGGCAGCGCAGGAGTTTCGCCTTGCTCTCATCCGCCTGGACTTGCTTCGTGAAGTTGCGATACTCCAGGGCATCAAAGGATATCACTTGCTCCTCCAGGAAGGTGGGGAGCTCCCTCACCTGCGCCTGCTGCTCCGCCCACTCACAATCCATGTCCGCCTCCTTTTCCGGCTCGGATCTCAGTTGCTGGATTAGGCTCTTGGTGGCCGCTGCCTTGGATTCCGAGCACATTTGGGCCATCTGACCCAAGGCCTGGACGGGAGTGCTGTAAAAGTTATCAATGTGCTGGGCAGCCTGGGCCAGACTCTTCACCAGGGGTCCATTGTTCAGCTTGAAGTCCGGCTTGGTCGGCGGCACGCGGTGGGACTTGCTGCGCTGGAACTGCCTGGACAACTGCTGGCGGAACTTCTGCAGCTGGTTGTCGATGAATCGCTGCTCCACCTCCAGGTTGTGAGCCTTGGTGGCCTCCAGGGAGTGGCCGTGGTCATGGGCCAGGGTGGCCAGCGGTAGTTTGTGTGGTATCTTTTGAAACTATTTAAAGAAAATAGTAATCATTACACATTCGAAATGATGGTTTATTCTACTGTTTTATCTACGACTAGTTTAGTCTAATAATTTGTAAATATTATAACAATTCACATGTTAATCATGAGCTTTAAATTGAGTATTTTTCATATCAATTTAATTTAAAGTTCCTGTTTAAAGAATAGTTTCTCATATCATATATGAGGCTTTCCTCTCACCATCTTATGCCGCATGTCCATAATAACACTAGGATTCAGCTGCTTGGGATCTTCTCCTTCGATCAGAAGGCGCTCCTGTCGCCTTCCAACATAATCCGCCTCGATAAGGCGACGCACTGCATCCGTCTTCAGGCCCAAAGCACTTGTCTGCTGATGCCTCTTGCGGATGCGATCCCATCGCGATTCCTTATTGGGTTTCTCACGGCGTTTTTGATGCGACATCTTGTTCCAATATTATTATTCCAAATTCTGATAGTAAAATATCTAGGTTTTTCAATTTGAAAGTGAAATGTGAACTGAAGGGAAAAGTTCGTAAACAAGTGGAAAGTATTGTCCTGACAACGAAAACTGCCAACCGGGGTGACGACTTACCCCCGTTAATAATTTATAAATAAAAATAACCCCTAGATTGCATTCAAAGCACAGCTTGATCCAGTTTAATTTTTATAAAGTTTATATAAATGCCATAAATATTAGATAAGTCGATAAGTAACAAAAATGTAGAGGACTTTGCAAGCTTAGTTTAGCAGTTTGTTTCGTGGTAATTGAGTGAACCGAAATCTTAAGCAGCAGCCGGGTCCTTCTTGGTCTTCTCCTTCTTGCCCTTTTGTTTCTCGGCGGCAGCCAGCTCCAGATCAATAGGAGCGGGCTTGACGAACGGGATCTCGTCCTGGAACTTGGCCGGCATGTACTTCTTCAGTGGCTCCGGCACCTTGATGCCCGTCTCCGTCTGATGGGTCTCGAGGATGGCGCAGATGACGCGAGTGGCGGCGCACATCGTGGCGTTCAGCATGTGCACGTAATCGACGGCGGCGTTCATCTTCTTGGTCTGGCCGTAGCGCACCAGCAGGCGACGGGCCTGGTAGTCCAGGCAGTTGGAGCACGAGACGAGCTCTCTGTAGGCACCGCTGCCGCCGAACCAGGCCTCCAGATCCAGCTTCTTGGAGGCGGCATGGTTGAGGGCACCGGACACGATGTTCACCACGCGGTATGGAATGCCCAGCGACTGGCAGAACTGCTCGGCATTGCCGATCATCTCGTCCATCATCTCCCAGGACTTGTTGTCGTGCGGGGAGGTGAGCACGAACTGTTCCACCTTCTCGAACTGATGGACGCGGAAGATGCCGCGTGTGTCGCGACCGTGGGAGCCCACCTCCTGGCGGAAGCAGGTGGACAGACCGGCGTATTTGATGGGCAGCGAAGCCTCTGGCAGCCACTCATCGCGATGGTAGGCGGCAATGGGCTGCTCCGAGGTGGCAATCAGGTACTTCTCGTCGACGCCCACCTCCTCAGCCTTCTCGCTGCCCTTGCCCACCACCTTGTACAGCTCCTCGTCGAACTGCGATAGCTGGGCCACCTCCTGCATCACCTCCTTGCGCATGAAGAAGGGTGTATAGAGGGGAACATAATCGCGGGCATACAGCAGATGCAAGGCGTGTTGGATGAGGGCCTGCTCCAGGAAGACGGCGGCTCCGGTGAGGAAATAGCCACGTCCGCCCGACACCACGGCTCCCTTATCGGCGTTCATGCCATCGATCATTACGATGAGGTCGACGTGCGAGTACTTGCCGCGCTTTTCGCAGTCGCCAAAGGTTCGCTCCACGCGGTTCTCCTCCTCGTCATTGGACACGGGGACGGACTCGTGCAGGTGGTTGCCCACCTCCCGCAGAGAGGTGTTCCTCGTCTGCTCGGCCAGCTCCAGAGACTTCTGGTTCTCCGACATGGCATTGTCGATGAGGATGCGGAGCTGCTTAATCTGGTTGACGGTCAGTGGCTGCAAGGTTTCGGCCACGATCTCAGTGAGATCCTGAGTGACGTCGGCCGGCGGATCCTCGCTCATGGCGCCCACCGGCTCCTTCTTCTTCATCTTCTCGCCTATCACCTTGCTGCAGACGTTCTTCACCTTGTTCAGGTTGTCCGCGCGGTGACGGCACTGACGCCACTCCAAGTCCTTGGCGATCACCGTCTCCACCAGAGCCACATCCTTGAAGCGCTTCTTCTGGTTATCGCGCACGGCATCGGGATTGCCGCCCTTGTCGCTGCGAAACAGATCCAGATCCAGCACCATGTTAGTTACGCTTTAGTTCAGTTTCAGTCGCGGATTAGTTTCGATTCACTCGCAGTTTGTCGGCGTTTTCACAACGTGGCTGGCTTTTTGCGTCAGCTGGCCAGTGTTGAACAGCGCATGGTGGTGTTGCATTTGGTGGTATTCTGATGGTGGCGAATTGCATTGTTGTGAGTCATCTTTTTAATGTAAGATCTTTAGTTATTAAAGTTAAATATTAGCACCGGTTAATTTGATTTATATGATGAGATATTTTTAAGCACTGGTAAATTTTTAAAAGTTTCAATGCATATATTTTATACTTTTTCTACGTTGTTTCGTAGCAAGTTTATTAAACATTAAATTCAAGATACATTAGGTTTTCTTCGACACCATCCAAACCTAAGCTGCCACTCACCCACAACACTGTCAGTTGGAACGGAATCGGCCCTGCTTTTACCAGCTGTTCAAAAACAGTCCAATTGGAGAACACAAAAGGAACTCCCAAAAATGAGCTTCATCGATCAGGAAGTTACGGAGTTCCGGGCCAAATGTGAGAAGCAGGTGCCGCACACGAAGATCATAATTTGCTCCAGCTCTCTGATCCGAGTGGACATCTACCCGGAGCGGCCCAACAGATCGATGACCGTGTGCCTGCGATTCCCACAAAACTATCCACAGAGCACTCCCATCCTGGTGGAGCTGAAGAGTCGCGTTTACTCCGACATGCTGCTGACGGAGCTCACCCGGCTGATCGACGACTATGCGCGGGACTTCATCGGCAAGCCACAGGCGCTCCTAGTCCTGGCCTTTGCCCAACAGTATTTATCGGATAATCCACTCTGCGTGTGCCTGGACGAGATCAAGCAGCTGAGGGCGGACATCAAGAATGGGGGCACCACCACGGAGAGTCAGCTAAAGTTGAAACAGCGGAACAGGAGCGTGGAGCTGGTGGCCAGGGGAGGCCTCTACACATACAAAGTCACGGCCGTTGTGCCGGACAGCTATCCCATGCAGAGTGTGGAGTTGCGTGGCCAGGAATCCAATCTCCCGGCTGTGCTCGTGCGCTACCTAAACGGCCAGTCGCGTGAGATTGCCCGCCAGTGCGTGGAGCCCCCGATCCGGCTGAGCAAGGAGGCTCTGGCCAATTTCCGGCCCGTCAGGAGCCTGCAACGATCGCTCAAATTCTGCCTGGAGGCCACGCGGGACTTTCACATCGAACTGTGCCCCATTTGTGATAATACCGTTCTGCCGGAGGATCCGCAGGACATAGACACAGACGATAATGCGGACACCTTCATCGAGCGCGTCTATTGTGGCCATCTGTTCCACCAGGGCTGCCTTAAGAAGTACCTGTCGGAGCCCCCGTTTCCCAGGGGCGGCAAAATCTGCCCGGCCCAGCGCCGCCATCCGCGATCGGATGCCCAGACCTACATGGGGAGGACCCAGAGCACAGGTGGCTCCTCCACCGTGTCCAGGACTCCGGACGATGCTGGTGTGTGCGGCATCAAGCTGGCACACGATCGCTGGGTGGTCAGCGTGAAGACCGCGGAGGCTAGATGGGCCCAGAAACAGGCTCGCCAGAGGGAACTGGAGGAGGTGGTCGACTTCCTGCAATAACAGAGGATTCAACTCGGGAACAGCTTTCTGTGTATGGTTATGTATTTTGTGATTTCTATTCGAATACGCTTATATTACTAATGATGAAATAAATAAAGTGAAGATGAAGTGCGACTAGGTTCGTTTTGAGAAATGGTCCTGTATATCCTGTTAACGCGATGTCAATGGAGCACAATGCAGTGCAACAGTCTTTTTCATCTCGACTTTTACAGATTTTGAACGAATTTGACTATCGGATTTCAATGGTTATAAATTATCTAGTCTTTGTATACCCTTTTATGGTATATTATAGCAGAAAATCATATCGTATTTGATTAAATTCTTCGAAAGTGTATAAGGAAACGTGTGTGTTAAACGTACGCCTCTGTTTTTGTTTCACAATTCTTTTAAATCAGGAGAAACGTAAAACAGCCCAAGGCGTTGTAGTTGTTTCTAGGTATCAAGAATTCGCTGGAAGCCTCTTGGGTGAAGGCTTACTAGGATAAACTTCAGAAATCCGTGACTATTTCGTCGTCCTCGTACCGCTTGATGGGATCCCCCTTAATCAGCGATGAAATTAGACTGGAAGGGGAACGATAAAGGGGGCTTAATAAAGGTGAACAGGAGTTCCAAAGAAAATCACAACTCACCAGTAAAGCCCCACGAAGAACATGACGAAATAGTAGCCCAGGTAGATCATACAGTTTCGCAGGTGAACCTTCAACAATCCCCGGCTATGTATGTCCACGGGGTCGTAGACACCCAGGCTATCACGTCGCTGGCGATGAAGTTCGTAGAACAGCCAAATTACCATCGGCAGGTTGAGCAGGAACATCACCCAATGGCCACCAATGAGAAGGAGAACGCAGAGCAGGGCGTGGGATCCAAATTTGGGTATGACCCAGAAGTTGAGTCGCCGGCAACACTCCTGGGCATTCAGATAGTCGCACTCCAGATCCGCCAGCGTTAGGACCTTAAAATTTCACTTCTCAATATTGTTTCTCTAATGAAAATCAGAACTCACATAGTAAATCAGGAGCAGAAGGATGGCTCCGTAGACCAACAGGGTTATACAAAAGGTGGCTGTTTCGGGCAGAAACATAATTGCACTATAGTAACACTTTTTCTCTTATAAATACAGGGTTTTTCTTAGTTAATTACAGATTTTGTAGCATTTCTCGTTTGATTTGTTTTTAATTAAGAAAATGTACTATTAATGGCCATACTGCATTTGAAAACCCAGTGCTGCAAAGCGGCACGGTGGAAATTCTTCGTAATTAATCGATTTCTTGCGATAATTTTTGACATAACAACCAGCTGTTTTCGCGGCGAACGGCCGCACTGGTTCCAAAATCATAACAAACCGTTAATTTTTTTTTGGGAAAGAAATTCCTTTTTTTAAACTTAAGTGATTCCTGATACAAATTCCGGCAATGCAGGCTGCCGGCTCTAATGCCATCCTGTCCCTGAGGCAGTTCGTCCTGCTCGCCAGGCGCCAGTTGTCAGCTTCGGCACAATCCGCGTTCTCCGGCTCCCAAACAAATGCCCAACATATTCCCCCATCACCTGAGAAATTTGGCGACAAAATGCGGGGATGGCAGCTGCACAATTACGGCGACATCGACGAGCTGCAGCTCTCCGAGAAGGTGAAGATTCCCCAGATTCGCAGCTCCAACGAATGCCTGGTCCGAATTCGAACGACGGCTGTGAATCCCATCGACCTGGCCATGCTCCGTGGTTATGGAGCCGCTGTGCTGAACAAGATGCGCTGCAAGCCCGGCGATGGCATCGAATTCCCCCTCATCCTGGGCCGCGAGTTCTGCGGCGAACTGGTGCAGACGGGCATGGGGGTTCCCTCGGATTCGCTGCCCCTGGGAGCCCGCGTCTGGGGAGTGGTTCCCTTGCAGGCTAGCCTGGGAGCCCATGCTGAATACGTAGCCGTGCCTTCATACTGTGTATGTGATTATGTTACTCCAAAGGATCGAGTAGCTTATCAAAACCAGTTTTCTCATTACAGCTCGCTCCGGCTCCCAAAGAACTGGATGACAGTGAGGCGGCCAGCGTGTTGTATGCCGGTCTGACGGCATGGTCGGGCCTGTATATCACTGGCGGTTTGGGTGGTCCATGCGGGGCCACCACATCTTCCGGTGGTGGTGCCCACAAACGTGTCTTGGTTCTGGGCGGCTCCGGAGGAGTTGGCTCCCTGGCCATACAAATCCTGAAGTCACAAAAAGTGCAAGTTCTTGCAACCTGTAGCGAAAACGCCGTCGAAATGGTTCGGAATCTAGGAGCCGACTTCGTAGTGGACTACAACAACAGCGAGTCCATGCAGGAGCTGTCCAAATACGCACCCTACGACATCGTACTGGATTGTTCCGGCCAAGGAGGTCAGAAGGCGGCTGAGTCGAACTTCGACTTCCGGCAGTACATCACCTTCTCATCTCCGCTGCTGGCAAACATCGATAAGCAGGGATTGGGTCTGGGAGCGCTGCAGAATGTGTTTGACCTGGTCCAGACCAATGTGAAGTCATTCTCGCAACGCGGAGGACTTGTAAAGTGGGGTTTCTTTAGTCCCGCACCGCAGGGCATTCAGTTTCTACAAAAACTGGTGGAGCAGCGAAAGGTTAGTATGGTCCTCAAGACTTTTTCTTTAGACTAATCCACTCCTGTCATTTTAGCTGATGCCGCTGATTGATAGCAGCTACGAATTCTATGATCTGCCTAAAGCCTTTGAAAAGATGAAAGGCGGACACTTGCGGGGCAAGATTGTGGTGAAGGTCTGAGGGAAAACAGGCGAATGACCGACTGATAACGTTGTTTCTGTTCCATTAAAGACATGTTCTGGTTAATTAAATTCCAACAGAAAACTAATTTATGAAACAGAGGAACGTTGACGCAATTCAATTACATCGACACCGCTCGCTCGCAGTTCAAAGACTGCAATGCAAGCCAGTCCGCTGACGTATTTGATTACTTTTAATATAAATTAATCGCTGATCTGCCTGATTTGCTGGCTGGCGTTCGTCAAGGATCACCTTTAAATCACCGTGAAAATCCATATATCTGCAGCGACCGGACTGAAGGGCAACTGGTCGTCAGGTAGCTGCAGCTCAAGTGATTCAACTGCGGCGAGCATACTTACTACCACTCGCTGGTCGTGCGCCCATCGTAAAGCTATTCTCGGACCAATGTTGACGCAGCACGACGCACGCCAGCGGTCTGCGAAAATTTCCGTGCGTTTAATTTTATTCCATCGCCTGCCTGGCTAGCTGCCCCTCTATCGGCCAATACCCAGGTTCCTTATCAAACAATGAGTGGATGGCGGGGCGTTTGCGATTCCGCAGCACGCGGCCTGCTCGCTCCAATCACATCGTTCACATGCGTTCGCAACGCTTCCGAGCATCGAAAAATGACCAGCTCGCTATCGCCAAGGTCGAGGCTTTCCAAAACCCAAAAAAAAAGCCACTATCATCCGACTTTGCCGGCAAAGAAAGCAAAGAATGCACGCTTCTCTGTTTTGTTTTGGTTTTTATTAATAGCTCTCAATTTGTTACTGGGCCGTGGTTCTTGATAACATCGAAATTGACTATCTGTTGCTAGTTGATTTCAAAATACTCTTTACTATTGATATTTAGCTATATATTTAAATAAGACATAAATAAACTGCTTAAGATACTTATTTTTTTGGAAAAATATAGCAAATAAGTGTAGCAAAATGAACCAAGGAATCAATATACCCTAGATAGAGTGGTAATATAGATTGCTAGGGAGAAATTTAGTTGTCAGAGCTTTCTAAAGACCTTGAAATCCCAGCGTTATCTAATGTCTGAATAAAATTAGCTATTATTGGAAAAAATTTTCAAGGCAGTAACAAACCTGAGCATGAGCACTTGAGATATGTAAGCGCTGTCCAGAGAACTTGTATTAAGCATAATACGGTCATGTTTCACCCATTTAGCGATTTCGTATGTACTTGATAATAGAGCTTCGTCTTTACAATTGTTTTTCCCATGTTATTTCCCTTTGACGCAATAAAATTCTACAAAATTGTTGGGGTAGCACCAGGAAGCTATATAGGAAATGTTTTTTTTGCTCAAAACTGTTTGAGTAATCATCCAATCCTTGCAGTCTACTAAAAAGAAACTAATGCAACCGAGAGTGGGTTTTGTGGCATTTTTTGGAAATTATTTGCATCTGATTAAAAGGAAATGGGTCTCCTAAATACGCATTGATTTTGTCTAGTGCATTAATTAGATTTAAATTAGCATTTTAAACAGTGGAACAGAGAGGGAGATTGTATAAGCTGTATGACATTTAAGTGGTTTCGATCAAGGATGCGTGTTGGTTTGGAAATTTTTTCCAATCCAAGAGGCCTTGACTGTGCTATCGTCATACGCATACAAAATTATTTGTTGATTACAGTCAGTTTTCTATATGAGTCCGAATACAAAAGGCAGTTATTTTTACACTTTCACAAGAATATAAAAATCCAAATTACTTACGTTTTAGTGCATAGTCAAACCAAATTTTAAATAAAAAACTACATTTATAATGGATAAGAACAAGCCCTCATTGCTGCCCTATATAATGGACCTGCTCAGTCGTCAGCCACATCTATGTGAGTAATATTTGAGAAAGAAAGAAATTTTTTTAAATTAGTAAAAATTATATACAAAAAGAGACGAAATGCATTTAAATTTTGTAACGTTTTCGCACTTTTTCAACAGTCACCTCCAAGGAAGAGTTGATCGAGGGCATCAGGGATGTTGTGCTCGAGGAGCACATCACTCCATTCAGCACCCTCCAGCAAGCTGTGGACTTTTCCCTGGATGTGGGCGTCAGCCTGGGCATCCTCTCTTTGACCGACGAGAGGGTCTGTGTGCCCTTCAACTACCGGAAGTGCCCAGCCAAAAAGAAAGTACCCGCTGGTACCCGGATCTCGCCCCAAGAGGGACGCCGGGCTATCAAGCAGCGGATGCCAAAGGCAGGGCCACCGAAGCCGTTGGACAAAGTCGTGGGGAAAAGGTGCGCTAAGCCACGAAAGACCGTCGACAAGGCCAAGACAAGGAGGAAGACGGGCAAGGCAGCTCAGAAGAAACCGTGCTAGAGGAAGCTAAGTCCAAGTGAATGGGCCGACCCAGACAATAAATCACCGTGCCGTACGACGATCCGTATCCGGGGCTTGTTATTGAACCCGCCGGGCGGGGCGGGCTTTCGAGCAACTGGGTTAACTAGGCGATGTGAGCTTCGTTGGCACACACTTGGACTAATTACCAGGGCAGGGGCACAAACAAAAATGTACAAATAGGGGGGTGCCAAATGCCCTGTCCTTCTCGCCGGCGCGTTTTCCAATTGATTTGTTCGAAGTTAGAGGCGAGTTTAGCATGAAAATGAATTATTCAGGGACTGGCGGTGGTGATTTTGTTGTTTTTGTTGAAATAATTAGATCGGTGAGTGGCTACGGCGAAAATTAAAAATGCGCCTTTTGGTGGCCACCGTTTCCCCCTGTTCTCGCGAACCAAATATATAAAAGGAATTCGGCTAGTGCAGTACTTGTTCAGTCTCTCTGCGGAACAAGTCGGATCCATACGTGCCACCAAAAGGATAAATAAACTCACTTTAACATAAAAGGACCTGATATCCCAGCCAATATTCATATCCTGGCTACCTCCAACGGAATACAACAAGGATACGCGATCAGTGAGCTAATGTGAAAAAGGTGGCCGTTGAAAAGTGATTTACCTTACCCAAAATCAAACGTCTTTCCGATTAAGTTTCACACGAAATGTGAGTCAAGTGCAGAAAAGCAAAAGTGGCGTGTTCTCTAACATGCGATCAATTTTTTTCTAATGAAAATCAAAACTGCGCCAGGATATCTAGCTATTCAAAGAACAAGTGACTACTTATCTTTAATTCAAAGAATGGTTTTAAGTATACCTAACAAAAATGGTGTGATGTTTCAACTACATAAAAGTGCTTTACTAATGCCAACGATTTGGTAACAGTTTTTAAGTGATATTACCTTATAAAATAAAGTTGTGAAAACTTCAAATAAAATAAAAGGATTTGCTTTATTATTTTTTTGTGAAAAAAAGGATTTTATGAATAAAGGATAAAGGTCCTTTGATATTAAAATAAAATCCAAGAATTTAAGAATCACAATTCTGGCCATAATAAAGTTTTTAAAAATTTCATCTGTGATTTAACAAAATAAAAACTAATTAACGAACTCAAATCACAAAATCGTTTCGCGATAAGCCCTTGAGAAATTAAAAATGTTGTGTTTATACAATAATCATTAATTCTCTAGACACTTCGAATCTGTGTATTCGGGAAACCTTTGATCCCACCAGACAATTATGTGAGTGAGTGAGGTTCATTCTTCTGGCACGCGTCACATTCGTTGATTTGAGTGTTAGCATAGCATATTAGGGGAATATTCTATCGAAGCTTATCGGGAATATACCCCTCTGCGTCCCCAATTCCAATCCCGATTCCAATCCCGTTCAGGTGCAGTGCACGCTGTCGAGTGCTGGCCGACTATCTCGAGAGCCGACTCCCGTAACTTGGCAACAGGAAACCCAGTGACCCGTACTCGGCTCCTCCCTCCTCGGATTGAATTGGATTGTGCCGAGCAGGCGAATCGTACGATCGCTGCATATAGTTTTTATGGGGAATAAATGGTGACTGCTGCTGCAGTGGTTCCTTATCAGCCAAATTACTTAAATCAAGTAGAGAGCATCGACTGTGTTCAAGTACTCATTACTCATGAAATGCCGATTCAGCACTATGGGCTTTATCTGAACATCTAAGATTAGTTGAGCGATTTTAAAAGCTATTGAAATTCTGGAAACTTAAGATATATTTATCATATATTGAAAATTGAGTACGCAGTTACATTTTGGCAATTTAATACGTTTTTTTTTAATCTATAGGTACCTAAGGTTATAATAAGTTTCCATTGTACATATTTCTACCAAATTGTGTGACAATCATACAAATAAATACTAATCATTAATATTATTGTTGTTGATTGTTTTTTTTTTTTGTTTTCTTGTGAATGCTTTGACAATCTTGTTTACAAAACTTCATGCTGGCTATCAGCAGATTAAATTGGTTAACATTGTTTGGATTCCTGTAAAAAAAACTGAAGGTTAAATTGCATGATAAATTTCCTGTTTTATTTTTAAGAAAGATAAGAATAAATTAAATTTTAGGTGTTAAATAAAAAACAAATTCATAAAAAGCCATAACTGTATTCTAAGATTTTATTTATTTTTTTATCTATCGCATATTTTGATAGTTCTTAGTTCCTTTTTATTTCCATTTAAAATATATAATTTGTAATGATGTGGCTATCAACTAAAGCTGTTTAACCAATTTTTTAGATCTTTGTATAGTTGAGCCAAATAGAGACTGAGCCAAAAGAAAGCAAACGAAAGTATGACCAATAAGGAGAAAGCCCAGGAGGATACGGCGGCGGGCGAAGATGGCGACATTGTGATCTCTGGTCTGTCCGGAAAATTGCCGGAGAGCAGTAACATCGAGGAGTTTAAGTACAACCTGCTAAATGGCATCGACATGGTCACAGATGAACCGCGACGATGGGAAGCAGGTTAGTGCCATTTTAATGATATAAGGCTTACAAAATAGGCTTCCCAGAAACCATAAAGCTTGCATTGCCCCACCTAAAAAGCAAAACGAAACCTCTTAATCGTGTGACTCATAGGAAATGTTCAACGTCCAACCCCTTGAGTTTCATTTTTGTGATAAATATTTTTATTCCATCCAATCTGGGGGAGCGACGGCTCGATCTACTTCGGTCGCTGAAGAAATTCCCAACTGGTTTTAGCAAACCTTCAGTATAGAGTTCCTGGATGGCCGGGATCCATTATGTCTCGAGCTTCGCTTCAGTTGTGGAGTGAAAACTTACGCAATGGAGCTAAAGTGAAGAGAACATATCCGAGGCAATTTTTTTAGTGCCTGGCCGCATTTGCCGCCGGGCCGTAAATAATCAATTTCAAACTGGTTTAGCTTAGTTGACGGGTTATTGGCAGCTGCCATTTGATCCTGTCTTTATTTCTCAAATGAAAACATTGCGTAAAGTTTTCGTCTTAGGAAACAAAGTAATCGAAATAAATTAATAAAAGTCTGAAGCGATGTATTTGTAAATTTTGACTTGAATTTGTACTTTTCCAAGCTGGTATTTAATTTAAAATTTCAGAAATTAATTAAATTCCTGGTTGTTAAACAAACATTTTACTTGATTGATATGGAAATAAAGAATATTTCACACATTGGTTCGCAAATATGATTTAATCTATTACATTTATTGTGCAATGGTTAAATATAAACTACTGGTTTTTTCGAATGTTTATTTATTTTAATTCTCCGCCTTTGAAAAGGCATCTATGGACTCCCCGAGCGCATGGCCAAAATGAAGGACACCGATCTGGAGAAGTTCGACGACAAGTTCTTCAGTGTCCACCAGAAGCAGGCGGAGCTTATGGACCCGTGCATGCGGATGCTACTGGAGCTCACCCACGAGGCGATCATCGACGCGGGCATCAATCCCGCGCAGCTGCGGGGCAGCCGGACCGGCGTCTACATTGGCCTGTCCTTCGTGGAGACGGAGCACGAGATTCCCAACATGGAGCCGAGCAGCATCAATGGCTATTGCCTGACGGGATGTGCACGGGCCATGTTCGCCAACCGGATCTCCTACACGTTCGACTTCAAGGGTCCCAGCTTCATTGTGGACACCGCCTGCTCCAGTTCGCTGGTGGCCCTCAATCACGCCTTTGCGGACATGCGAGCTGGTCGCTGTGATTACGCCCTGGTGGCGGGCGTGAATCTCATCCTGAAGCCCATCTTTGCCCTCCAGTTCCTCAGGCTGGGCATCGTGAGCCACGACGGCGCCTGCAAGACCTTCGATGCGGCGGCCAACGGCTACGCCCGGGCGGACACCTGTGCCGTAGTCCTGCTCCAGCGGCGGCGGGAGGCCAAGCGGGTGTATGCCAGCATCCTGAACGTCCGCACCAACACGGACGGGTTCAAGGAGCAGGGCGTGACCTTTCCGGACGGACGCATGCAGCAGGCCCTTCTGGAGGAAACGTACAGCGAGATCGGCCTCAATCCGGACGAGGTGGTCTACGTGGAGGCCCATGGCAGTGGCACGCCCGTGGGCGACGACCAGGAGGCCAACATGCTGGGCAACTTCTTCTGCCGTCCATCGCGACCAAATCCGCTCCTCATTGGCTCCGTAAAGTCCAACATGGGCCACGCGGAGCCGGCCTCTGGGGTGAGCGCGCTGGCCAAGATGATAATCGCCATGGAGGAGGGGATAATCCCAAAGAACCTGCACTACCGTACCCCGAATCCTTCGGTTCCGGCTTTGGTCGAGGGCCGTCTCAAGGTGGTGGACCGGAATCTGCCCTGGCAGGGTGGCATCGTGGGCCTGAACTCCTTTGGCTTCGGTGGAGCCAATGCCCATGTGGTGCTCAAATCACATGCCAAAACCAAAGTTCCTAGGACATCCTCAATGGCAGCGGGGGCGGAGCCATCCCTGAGACTAGTCATCTGCTCCGGCCGCACGGAGGAGGCAGTGCAGCAGTTATTGAAGGTGGCCACAGAGCAGCGTCACGACCAGGAGTTGCTGACCCTCATCAACGACATCCATTCGCATCCGATTCCCCTGCATCCCTTCAGGGGCTACGCTGTCCTCGGCTCCAGTGGATCCGTTAAGGAGGAGGTGCTGCCATACGAGGAGGAGGAGCGACCCATTTGGTTCGTCTACGCCGGCATGGGCAGCCAGTGGGCCAGCATGGCCAGGGATCTCATGCAGCTGGAGGTGTTCCGAAAGTCCATACAGCACTGCGCCGAGGTGAGTTGAATATCTGGTTTTAATGTCAATACCTTTTGCTGCTCAGGTATAAAACCCTTTCTTTCATCCCAGGTACCATCCCTTATACGTAAGCATTGCATACTTAGAAGTGATATCTTCTTCCCTTTCTCTTCTCGTAAAATTCCCAACTGGTTTTAGTATTGATCGAATAGAGAGACCCTTGATTGAGGTTGTTAGTTACTCTGGTTTCTCTTCAATTGTCGAATAAATCTTTCGCCTTTTACTAAAGATTTCCGTGGAGAGGAGCACTCTAATGAGTCTAAACGGAATTTTTTTTAGTGCCCTGTTGGCTTATGCCTCCGGGGCCATAAATAATAAATGACCTTAGTTTATAAACAAATCAAAATTAATTAATTTCTACCTTTATCTCGATTAGGTTGTTTGGCTTTTGTTCAAGTTATTTTATAAAAAATATAGAAACAGTATTTACAAAGAGCTTAACCTAACTTGAGAAAATATTATTTAATTAAAGAATTACTAACTAGTCAATGACATAACTATTGTAATTAAAACTCGGTTCAACATTGTAAGGTCGATAGGTTTTTATTGTACTGCAATAAAATTAAATTTATTTTTATGAAAATAAATATTATTATAAGTATTTGCATCAAATATTACTCAAAAGCTGTTGATCGGTTTTATATTATTCCGGATCTCTCGTGTATAATTCCCAACTGGTTCTAGAAAATATTTAATAGAGAAGACCTTTCTTCGGAACTAAAAGTTACTCTGGTTTCTCTTCAATTGTCGAATAAATCTTTCGCCTTTTACTAAAGATTTCCGTGGAGAGGAACACTCTAATGAGTCTAAATAGAATTTTTGCTTAGAGCCCCTTAGAAGTATTTCTTGAGGGGTCATGAAAAATAAATAGTAAAGTAGTTAATCTATTGATAATTGTCAATTATAATAAACGAATACAATTTATTACTTGAATTTTATTTGCTTTATCATAAAGGGGTGAATTCAAAGCTGCACTTTTGGTTCACAAAATGCAAGAAGAATTGTAAATTATTACACCAAATTAACCATTATGATTTAGCTGATCCAAGCCAACCAAACGATTTTAATGAAACTGATAAAGCTATTTGACAGAGGTAAACCAGTAACCTTGAATATATATATTGCATCTTTATTTTCATTATCAAGCTTATCGCAAATAATGTAAGCTTTGACACTACTGATTAAGCTTTTATATATGTATGTACATGTTATATATTGGAACATATAGTTAAGTTTATAGCTAACAAAATAAATAGTTTAAGCATAAGCTATTTGCCTTTAATTTTAAAATTATAAGTTACATGCCTATATAAATTTATATTATTTTTGAAGCCCAAGTACCAAATTAAACCTCTTTTTTTACACAAATCTTGCATTAATTTATAACCTAACTTTACTTCATCTAAACTTCCTTCAGGTTTTGGCGAAGGTTGACTTTGATCTTATAGATGTGCTGACCCGATCAACGGATAGTACCTTCGACAACATGCTGTACTCCTTCGTCTCTGTGTCCGCCGTACAGGTGGCCTTGACCGATCTTCTCCGGACGCTGGACATCCGGCCAGATGGAATCGTTGGCCACTCGGCCGGTGAGCTGGGCGCCGCCTACATGGACGGTTGTCTCACGGCGGAGCAAACGGTGTTGGCCGCCTACTGGCGTGGTCGTAGTGTCCTGGACACTCCGAATTTGCCGCGCGGGAAGATGGCAGCTGTGGGTCTCAGCTGGGAGCAGATCGGTTCGCATATCCCATCAGATTGCTATCCAGTGTGCCACAACAGCGAGGATAACTGCACAGTGTCTGGGCCACCGGCCTCAATGGATGCGATGGTGAAGAGGCTCACGGCGGAGGGCATCTTTGTGAGGGAGGTGGGATCCGGGGGCTATGCCTTCCACAGTCCATATATCGAAGGAGCAGCTCCCATGCTACGCAAAAATCTGGAGAAACTTATCACGGAGCCCAAAAAGAGAAGTCAGCGATGGCTGAGCACCAGCGTCAAAGAAACGGATTGGGGAACCAAGAAGAACCATCTCGCCTCCGCTGACTACTTTATAAACAACCTGATCTCGCCCGTGCTCTTCCACCAAGCCATAAAGAAGATCCCACAGAATGCCCTGATTGTGGAGATTGCACCCCACGGACTCTTCCGGGCGATTCTCCGCTCCCTGAGTCCGCAGATCAGCTATGTGAGCCTCATGCAGCGGGGTCATGCCAACAACTTTGAGTTCCTCTTGAGCCAGTTGGGCAGACTCTACGCCGCCGGCGGACATCCTCAGATCCTGAAGATCTCGCCGGCTATTAACTATCCCGTTTCCCGGGGCACACCTATGCTGGCCTCACTGGTGGGCTGGGATCACTCGCAAAAGTGGAACTACCCCAAGTTTAAGGGTGGACGGCAAGCTGGTCAACTGAGTGTGGAACTGGATTTGGGCAAGGAGGAAAATGCCTATCTGGCGGGACACACGATCGACGGCAGGATCCTGTTCCCGGCCACCGGCTATATGACCCTGGCCTGGATGAGTCTCGCTCAACAGCAGGGATTGGACTACCTGCGCACGCCCGTGCTCTTCGAGGATGTGGTCTTTCATCGGGCCACGATCCTTGGAATGAGCACTGTGGTGAAATTAACACTCAACTTCTTTCCCGGCAGCAGTGCCTTTGAAATCTGCGAGGGCAGCAGTCTGGTGGCCTCGGGAAAAATCCGTCTGGTGACCAATGTGCAGCAGGAGCAGCTTCAACTGGCATCACTACCGGGTACAGCTGGCTCTAACAAACTTAGCACCAAGGATATCTACAAGGAGCTAAGGCTGAGGGGCTACGACTACAGTGGTGTTTTCCAGGTGTGTTTTAGGCCTTATGAATACAATAAATATTTAATTAAACCAATTTTGTTGTATACCCCTGCAATAATTATTTTAGTCAACAATTTGCAACGCGGTAAAAGAAACATTTTCAAGCCTACAAAGTACATACATACTCTTGATCAGCATCACTATCCATCTAGCCAAGTCCGTTTGTCCGTTTATAAGCAAGTTCGTCTTTTAGTCTTGGGTGAAACATTTAAAAAAGTCACCTCTCTAATGCAGGTATTAAATAAGTCGGAATTGGCCGAAATTGGATATGGCGACTACGTTATATAAAAATTTAACTTAGCTGATTTTCAAATTATACAAATTTACTTCGATTTGTAGGCTTATTTTTTCAGAATTATGTGTTTAGTCCATAGCCCTTTTGTTTTTTTATATATAGCATTTTTTATTGTTTTTTAATGAATATTAATAAGACTAATTAATAGTATAAAACTTGTTATTATTCATATTTTTAATACGATAACTTTGTCAGGGCATTTTAGAGTCGGACATTGCGGCGGTAACGGGTCGCCTGCAGTGGGCGGATAACTGGATCAGCTTTATGGACACCATGTTGCAGTTTCGCATCCTGAGCAACGACATCCGTGAGCTGTACGTTCCCACTGGAATCGAGAGGGCCCTGATCGATCCCCTGAAGCATCTGGAGCTGGCCAAGAAGCACCAGCAAAAGCTGACCGTCAACTGGCACCGCAACATATCGGTGGTGAAGTGTGGTGGCGTTGAGATCCACAAGATGAAAACCGCTCAGACACAGCGGCGATCTGGCGGCCAGTCTGCGCCCAGCTTGGAGCGTTATAGATTTTGGCCACATTTCCAGCACTTGGGTCAGCGGGAGGACCAGCAGAAGTCAAGGAGCACGGCCCTGGCGGTGGCCATTCAACTGGTGATCGAGAATAGTGGTGGTGCTGTGAAGCTGAAGGGCGTGGAACTGGCTGGAACCCGAAGCAGTTTGGATACTCTGAGTGCTCCGCAGCTTCTAGAACTAATCGAACGTGAACCCATTCTGGTAGGTGACTTGGCGGTGATCACCACCTCCTCGCATGAATCGGAGCTCAGGGAACAGCTCAAGGAACAGGGCATAAGGGTGATGGCCAAAGATATCTCAGCAGGGGCCGTGGAGCAGCAGTGCCATTTTGTCCACTCTGTAGACATTCTGGCCAAAAACTCTCTCAAGGATCTGCAGCACTGCTTGGATAGCCTCAAGTCCGAGGCGGGCTTTCTGCTCCTGGAGGAGACGGCCAGCAGGTATAACATAATTGGTAAAGAGAAGTTGAGCAAACTGAAGTTGGTGCCTGTTTTCGAGCAGTTCTTTGGCACAGATCGAGTTCTTGTCCTGGCCAGAAAGCCACCGAGTGTTAGTCCCACTCAATGCCTAACCCTTCAACTGACCAACAGGAAATTTAAGTGGGTCAACGAACTAAAGAGTGCTCTGGTCAAGGCCCAGGCTGACCAGAGGAATCTCTACTTGGTGGCACAAGGAGAACCCAATTCCGGAGCCTTGGGCCTAATGAACTGCCTGAAGCGGGAGGCAGCAGGGAACTGCCTTCGCCTTTACTTCATCCTAGACGAAGGCCTGCCACCATTTTCCCTGGCAGAACCATTCTACGCCGATCAGTTGGCCAAGGATCTGGTCATCAATGTGTACAGAAATGGCAGCTGGGGCAGCTACCGTCACCTGAAGATGGAAGCCCAGCCGCCTCTGCTGCCCGTGGAGCAGGCCTATGTGAATACCCTGGTCAAGGGGGATCTCTCCTCGCTCCGCTGGATCGAGAGTCCGCGTCCGAGTGCCAGCCAGTCGCTCTTGGAACCCTGCACCGTTTACTATGCCCCGCTCAATTTCCGCGATGTTATGCTGGCCTCGGGCAAACTGGGAGTGGATGCCCTGCCCGGGGACTTGGCCCATCAGGATTGCGTGCTTGGACTTGAGTTCGCTGGCAGGGACTCGCGTGGCCGTCGCGTCATGGCCATGGTCACTGCCAAGTCACTGGCCACCAACTGCCTGGCCAACAAGAACCTGCTCTGGGAAATCCCTGCGAAGTGGACCATGGAGCAGGCTTCGACGGTGCCCTGTGTCTATGCCACCGTTTACTATGCCCTGGTGGTAAGGGGACAAATGCGGAAGGGTGAGAGGATCCTCGTTCACGCCGGCTCCGGAGGAGTGGGTCAGGCGGCCATCTCGGTGGCTCTCGCCCACGGACTGACCGTCTTCACCACCGTGGGTAGCAAGGAGAAGCGCGAGTTTCTGCTGAAGCGATTCCCTAAGCTGCAGGCTCGTCACATTGGCAACTCCCGGGACACCTCCTTTGAGCAACTGGTCATGGGTGAAACCCATGGCAGTGGAGTGGAACTGGTGCTCAATTCCCTGTCCGAGGAGAAGCTGCAGGCCTCCATTCGCTGCCTGGCTCTAAACGGACGCTTCCTGGAGATCGGCAAGTTCGACCTGAGCAACAACACCCCGATGGGCATGTCCGTGTTCCTCAAGAACACCTCCTTCCACGGCATCCTGCTGGACAGTGTGATGGAAGGCGAGGAGCAGATGCAGCTCACGGTGGCCAAGTTGGTGGCGGAGGGCATTGAGAGTGGTGCAGTGCAGCCACTGCCAACTACGGTCTTTGCGGAGCAGGAGATCGAGAAGGCGTTCCGTTTCATGGCCTCTGGCAAGCACATTGGCAAGGTGGTGGTCAAAGTGCGCCTGGAGGAGGAGCAGTCGGCAGCTCTGCCGCGTCTCCGCCAGATTGAGGCCATCCCACGATCCTACATGCACCCGGAAAAGAGCTACATCTTGGTCGGTGGCCTCGGGGGATTCGGTTTGGAGCTGGCCAACTGGCTGGTCTCCCGAGGAGCTCGCTTCCTGGTCCTGAGCTCACGATCCGGGGTGAAGAGCGGCTATCAAGCTCTGATGATTCGTCGCTGGCATGACCGGGGTGTCCAGGTGCAGATCGATACCAACGATGTGACCACGGCTGTAGGCTGCCAGCGGCTCTTGGCGGTGAGCAATAAACTGGCCCTGGTTGGAGGCATCTTCAACCTGGCGGCTGTGCTACGCGATGGCCTCATCGAGGATCAGAGTGCGAAGAACTTTGAGAAGGTGACGGCACCGAAGTTGTTGGCCACTCAACATCTGGACAAGATCTCGCGGGACATTTGCCCCGCCCTGGAGTACTTTGTGTGCTTCTCCAGCGTGTCCTGTGGCCGGGGAAACCTGGGTCAGACCAACTACGGTCTGGCAAACTCCACCATGGAGCGGATCTGCGAGCAGCGGCAGGAGTACGGATATCCGGGCACAGCCATTCAGTGGGGAGCCATCGGCGACACCGGCCTGATCATCGAGCACATGGGCACCAACGAAACGGTGGTGGGCGGCACTCTGCCGCAGCGGATGAACAGCTGCCTGGAGACGCTGGACCTGTTCCTGCAGCAGCCCCATCCCGTCATGGCCTCCATGGTGGTGGCCGAGAAGCGCAAGTCGGAGCAGGCCAACCGGATGAGTCTGATCGCCACCATAGCGAACATCATGGGGCTGCGGGATGTGAAGAGTGTCTCCGATAGGACAACCCTCTTCGACCTCGGCATGGACTCGCTGATGAGCACGGAGATCAAGCAGACTCTGGAGCGGCACTTTGACCTGGTTCTGAGCGCCCAGGAGATCCGTCAGCTGACCTTCAGTGCCCTGCGGCATATCGACTCCCAAGAGTCCAGGGAATCTGTCTCCTCCAAGTCCACCGTAGCCAATTCAACCACTGCACCGACTCCATCCAATGGACTGGCCCGCGTGGAGGTGCAGCCACAGAGCGATGAGACGCGCAAGGTATTCGCCAAGGAAGTATTACCCCAGGAGGTGATGGTCCGCCTCCGATCGAAGGCGCCGTTGGCCAGCGAGGAGCCGGCCGTGTTCTTCCTGGCCCCCATCGAGGGCTTTACCATAGCCGTGGAGGCGCTGGCCTCCTCGCTCACCTGCCCCGCCTACGGGCTGCAGTGCACGGAGCACGTGCCCCTCGAGTCCATTGAGGCCTGTGCCGCCTACTATCTCCACCAGATCCAGAAACTGCAGCCATTGGGACCCTACCACATCGTGGGCTACTCCTACGGCTGCCTGCTGGCCCACGCCATCGGGGTGGCGCTGGAGCAGCGCCGCTTCGGCGTCAAGGTCATTATGCTGGACGGAGCGCCCACCATGGCCAGCGGCTACGTCCAGGAGGCCAAGAAGCAGACGGACGACCTCAACCGCCAGCAGTCCATGACTCTGGCCTACTTTGGCGCCCTGCTCGCCGATGTGGACTACAACCAGGTACCGTCTTGGGCTTAGCTTCGCTTGATCTTCAACCCTTAAATACTTGGAATTTTATTAGCTGCTCCAACTGCTCGATGGAGTGCTGACATGGCCCTCCAAGCTGGACAAACTGGCCGACACTCTGGCCGAGCACACGATGCAAACCAGAGAAGTGGTGAGTAATAAGGGGTTTTTAATAAAACAAACTATATTTAAATCACAATCCTTCCAAAGACAGTATTTCATATATATTTAAATTTATTTCCTTTATTTTTAACGGAATTTTAAATAAAAACCTTTTTCTTAAGCGTCAAAAATTAAATATGCCTTTATTTATTTGGCTTAACAATACTTAACACATATTCAAGTGATGATCAATTCAAACAAAAATTAGTTCTAACACTTGTAGACTTAGTTAACTCATAAACACTCGTACGTAAAAGTGAGCTTATATTTATTTAAATACTTGTTGCCTGGAGTACAAGTGTTTATTATTATTGCCGGAAATAAGTGCCCTTATACACTCAGGTCAAACACATTACTGGAAATTACTGCCGTTCAAAATAATAAATCTTAAAATGTTATTGATCCTTAAAAAGTTTATATTAATATTATTTTGACTTTTGACTATTTTCCAACAGATCAAAAAAGCCGCCTGTATGTTCAAACAGAAGCTACTGCTTTCTGAAAGTTACAAGGGCGCCAAGCAGCTGCACAGCGATGTGGTGCTGATCAAGTCAGCGGAGCACAATGCGATAATGGCTCAGGATTATGGCCTCAAGGAGGTATATGCTACCCATATTAAATCCACACAAATTTTCATAAGAGTAATCCTTTCCGATCTGTAGATTTGCAGTGCCCAGATCGATATGCATGTGGTGGAGGGCACACATAGGACTTTCCTCAAGGAGCCGCTCACTCTTCAGATCATCGAACGCGTCCTGAGAAAGCGTCCCTAGTGGACGACCTGTAGCTCTTAGTCCTATTAATACGATTATGTTGATGATTTATTCTGTAGCTCCTAAAGTATCCCCTAACCATGCCCAATACACGTAGCAATCTCGTATTGATTGTTTAAGCATAACCAGCTTTAAATAATATAGTCGGACTTCGCTAACTCTACCTTTGGTAGACCGAATAATATGTACACAAGTGGTTTTGATAGGAACACTTTTTTTCCTTTAAATATCTTTAGCTTTTATTTAAAAAAGTTTTAACTTGCATTTGTTCTATATTAAAATTAAAACTATAGACTAATTTTTTTTGTTTACTTAAAAATTCCATGTCTTAAACTATTACTTAAAATGCCTAATCTTTTACTTTAGTTTTCAAAATGTTACTGTTGCCTAAAGCCCTTATAGCCATAATATTCAATGGGGCAAATCAATTAGAGGAGTTCGCCTGTGTTTCAAATTTTACTAGCAATCTAAACTCGCGTGGCACTCGCATGATTTTCTCGATGAATCACACCGATCCGAGGCGACCCGTGTTGGCGGCTGGCTGACTTTATTGACCCGTTGGAGCAGACTTCGGCGTACCTTTCCATAATTGATAATGCCTCCCACTATATCGCGCCTCTGATCTCGCCAGACGATTAATAATCGGTGAAAAAGTGGTCCGACTTTGGCGGGCAAATCAAAATTTCTACATCTCCGTCACGCACACAACAGCTGACCACTTATCGCTGTTAATGCGAATTTAAGCGCCGCACAGAGTGCAGCAACAACAACAGAGGTTTAGAGCGCCCGCCAAAGTTAAAAACAGCAAATATAACAGTAACAACAAGGAAGCCAGACGACTTGGGTAAGCCGAAGTTTAGAGACCCTTTTAAAGAAGGCAAATGTATGTTTGCTACCAAGTTCAAACTTCAATAGGTATGACCGTAAAAATGGAATGAATGCTGAGAATAATATAATTTTATTAAAAACACATAAGTGTATCGATATTTTAAATGATTATTTTTACCAACTTCGAAAGCTTCTTTATCAGTAATTTATTAAAAACATTCTACTGTATTTACAATATTTCTAAAACAAATTGTGATTAAATTAACTAAAAACTAACAGAAATAAAAATCAAATAAAAAGATTTGACTGCATTCTATGAGTAAGGAAATAGTAGATCCATTTAGCTAAAATTTAACCTTGGACCTGTAGAACTGATCGAATAAATTGCTTGGAAACAGATGCTTATCTAGCGGATCTACAAGGTCGGGAATGACAGTCCAAACAGCGTAACGAGTCCGTGGTACCCTCTGCAAGGGCATGCGAACAGCAGCCCTGCTATAATCTTAACAGAGAGCGCAAAGAGAGAGCAGCGCTGCGAAAAGCTCTCTGCCGACGTCGACGTCGCGTCGGCGGGCGTCGTATAAAAGCCGGCGCTCACCTGATTCTCGCATTTCCGTTTGTAGCAGCCCCAGCTCGCCGTTGTCGTGTTTTACTTAAGCGCTACGCTACGTATTAAATGCAAAATTTAACCGTGTGTGGCAAAGTAATTTGCAAAAACTAACAGCCAAATAACGGTGGAACGGAGAACTTTCAGTCGAAAGCAAAGTGCCCGAAAATTTCTGGATTTCTCGAGTGATTTACGTTGTGGTTATAACGGTTTCCCCACTCAGTCAGGACCAACTGTAAAGGAGCCTACATATATCCACCACCACCCCGCCCGCTCTAATCCAAAAACTCGAAAAACAGCTGTCGAGCAATCGCCTGATTTCTAGGTATGTACAAAAAATGGCAGCCGCAGGAATAAAACAGCCGCCCCTATCCCTGAGTTGGTGTGTGGTGTGTCTGTGTGTGAAAGAGAAAATGAAAACGAAATTTTCTGGACAAAAAAAAAGTGAAATACTAAAGAAAGAGCTCAAGAAAAAAAGGAGAAAAGTGATACTGAAAAATAGAGGAAAATGGTTAGATCGAAGGTTTTCAAGTGATCTTAAAGATTCATTCGCTAAGTCAGCTAAAAATACGAATTACTGAATTTCGCCTTTATTCGCTTCGCTTTGCACTTGGCTTACATTGCTTTTGACCTTTAGGACCCTTGGGCCCCAACCAAACCCAAAGTGTTATTTCATACGCCTTTCGCCGCCCCCTAAAACAACAGTTCCTGTCGTCAGACAGAAAATTACAGACGCTAATTGCGAAAGTCGGAGATGGGGAATGTCAAAATCGCAGTCTCCCGTCTGGCGACCCAATAAGCCTTCTCTATAAAGAAGGGCTTCTCGATAGGGTTTCGCCTTCTAATTGTCATCCAGAAGCAGCAAAAGTTTGATTTCTATGATTTCTTTTGTAAGCCATTGTGAAATTAATGTTAAAAGAGAACGGCAAATGCACAATTAGTGTTTGATTAAACATAATAGCGTAATTTTATGCTTTGGCAAATTTAAAATTCTGAATTCACAAATACTTGACTTATTATACGTACAGAATTAAATATGAACATATTTAAAAATCTTTGAACATTTTTCTTAAATTTAAACTTTTCCAAAATGACGTGCTCAATTTTTGAAATTACTGATCGTTTTTAAATTAGAAATTTATTAAATTAGTGTAGGTCAGACAAGGCATTTCCTGGTTGCGTGTGCGAATTTCGTTGCTTTACAACCATGCTAACTAAACAACCATTAAGACATTTACCCGAAAATTAAATTTTAAATTGCTTTTAATATGAAAATAAGGCAATGTCATAAAGACTTTAAATGCGATCAAACCATGTGAATATACTAAAAGTGCTACTACGAAATTATATTTAAAATTGCAATAATTTACTATAAATAGATGTATAGAAATTAAAATTCCTTCAAAAGCAATAGAAAATAATTTAAAAATTAAAATAAACGATATAATTCTCAGAATATTGTTAGCTCCATTAAAAGAATGCTTAAATAGTCGAAAGTTCTTATCAGCAAAGCGATCGCTTTGCATAAAAAGCAACTCGCCCAGAAACCAATTAATCAGAACGCTCCCAAAAAAAAAAACAAACAGAAATCGTGTGATTGGAAAATTTCGAGTGTCTGGCTAATCCTTATCAGCAAATAATAATGTTGCTTCCTGAAGTACACGCGTCCACTGGCGATCAAACATTTCCGATCCAGGTGCACGGTCGTATGAGTAGGCAGTGCCTTATCACTCTTATCAGCCAGTTTCGGAATCACCCCATGGCCCAGTCCCAAAATTGGGCGTTATCTCTTCGTCCATGAACTTGAAGCGTCACCAAAGTTTCGATAGAGTGTGGTGGGGGAGTATAGTTTGGAAGAGCCTGTAGTGACGCGTACACGTGTACTTGATGCCCCAATCGATAACTGTGACAATAGAACCGAGTGCATAAATAAACAGTGTTGAGTGTTCTATGGAAAAGTGTTGGAGGGGTGTTGTGTTGTTTGTCTCCCATGTTTACCTAGCCAATGACGCAACTTTCGCAATATGGCCTGATGATGGATGGATCGATTGGGATTGAGGGGGGGCTATCGATAAATCAATACCCTCCAATGTTCTTACGGTAAAAGGATACATATTGGTTTTGTCGGATTACAATTTGATTCAGAGGCACACAGATTAAATGAGCTTAGAATAGCAACCGAAACTATGAAAATAATACTTCAATGAACTTGAGAAATCACGCCACCTTATCTCACCAAACAAATGGTACACGCGTCGAGCTCGTGTGTGTGTGTGTGTGCTTCGGTGGGGACTAATGGGGCTGGGGCTCTACGTCTGCCGGTTGGCGTGCAAATTTCGCCCCTCTCTTTCGCTCTCACCTCAGATTACAATGGCAAAACATAAACATAGAATCCAGACGCGACCGTCTTGTCATGCCAACGGCCTTTTGATGATAGATAGATAGATAAGTCGCTGAGTCGGCCGATTTTTTACCGGCAGCTCATTGTTACACTTGGAAAAAATCAGTATAAATAGCAAGAAAAAAGATTCTAACTGAGAAACACCAACAAAGCAGTTCAAAAGATATTATAAAACCTTATAAGTAAACCATAAACAAATTATTAATTTTCTTATAAAAGTGATTTTAGTTTTTACGCTTAATGTGCATACTGTTCAAAATATTTGACGCACTTAAGGAAGTTCCCCATGAGTCTTAAATTAACTAAAAAAAACCATTTATCTCATAAGAAGAAATTCCATAAATCGAACCTATTATTCCAAACCTAGACAACTATACATAGCCAAATATACCAAGAATCTAGTTTTGTTCAGTGTATTGTTTATTTTTGCTTAGTTGCTGACCGCTCTGGGTTCTTCTTCTTCTAACGACGCTTTCGGCTTCCCCAGTTTTCAGCTTTAACCGATTTCGTCCGCCAACTCTACTCATTTCGTTTCCCTTCTTTTGTTGAATCATTTCATTTCGCACAGCACATCGTACGAGTTTCTCGGCGAATAAGAAAGCAGCTTGCTTTTTTGTTGGTATGAGTGTGCGGCCTATGTTAACGCAAATGGTGTTGCACTGTTAACTATGCTGCCACAAGTTGCTGTTAACGGTTGGTTGTGTTAATAAAGTTAAGAGCAAAAAGCCGCCCATAACAAATAATGCCGCACCGTGCGCCGGTATATGTATGTGCGGCAAAAGCTTCGCCGGCATCACCTGATTTGCAATTTCTACACCAACTTTCCACCAGCTGAACATCTAAATAAAAAAAAGATGAATTGCCCGGCATCTCGCTCCAGAGAGAGCGAAAGCTCTGCACTTGCGGGCGTGAGAAAGCTTTATGTTGGCTTAACAGCGGGGGTTGGCACACAAGTTCTATAGGCTAATTTTGTCTACTGTTATATTAAAAATTTGTATATCCATTTAAGTTTTTAATTTTTAACGAAATTTAATAAAACTGTTTTTAATATTTTGTGAATTGTGATACTATATTGAAGTTTTAAATCTTAAATCTTTTCTTTCACATAATATTGAAAATCAAATTAGAATTATTTAATTTTTTATAATATGCATCGTTCGTCCGTTATCAAATTTAGCATACCCCTTAAAACATTTTACTAATATTATTATACGCTTAATTTTAAACAGCTGAGCTTCCCTTTCTATTGCAGCCCATACAACTAAACCTGTTGCAAGCCGTGGACCAGC